CAACCTACTCATTCGGGTACCCCAGACAGTATTGAATCAGGAGAAACCTTGCCTCTTAACATGGAAGGTGTCAGTGAGTCGTTGAATTCCCCCACAGAAGTAGGTACTGGGTTTACTCCTGAGAGTGGCTATACCGAGGGAGCAGTACAAGAATCCTCCAGTGTAGTTGCTTCCAACAGGGACACTAGTGAAATAAATGGAAATTTCGAAGCCAACTCTAAAATTCCTGCCAGTGAAGCCATTCCTTCCAGTGAAGACAATGACAATTATGAGATTCCCCCTGCTGGTGGTAGATCTCATACGAACATACACCCTATGCTCACAAGAGACAAGTGTGGCATTTACAAACCCAAAGCTTATTCCTCTCAATTTGATGAGGTTGTTCCCTCGACTATCGATGAAGCACTACAATCACCTAAGTGGGATGCTGCTGTTCAAGAAGAATATGATGCGCTTAAAATAAATGGGACCTGGACACTTGTTAAACTACCTTCAGGTCGTGTTGTTGTAGGGTGTAAGTGGTTTGTCAAAGTAAAACGAAACCCAAATGGCTCAGTGCATAGGTACAAGGCACGTCTAGTTGCCAAAGGGTTCTCACAAGTACCTGGGTATGATTACCTTGACACCTTCAGTCCTATTGTAAAGTTTACAACGCTCAATGTTATTTTGTCAGTTGCAGTAACCAATAACTGGGAATTAAGGCACGTTGACATCAACAATGCCTTCCTTAATAGAGATCTAAGAGAAGCTATCTTCATCCAGCAACCTCCTGGTTTCGAGCAGTCAGCAGCAGATGGTGTGCCTCTTGTATGCCAACTGCAGAAGGTATTATATGGATTAAAGCAGGCTCCTCGCAACTGGCATGCCAAACTGAAGGATGTGCTTCTTCAAATCGGCTTTAAAGTGTCTTGAGCTGATACTTCCTTATTTTTCACAAAAATAGGCACTGAACATATCTTTCTCTTGGTCTACGTGGATGATATAGTAATTACAGGATCACCATTATCTTCCATTGCCAATGTTGTTTGTACACTTTAAGACGCTTTTTCACTCAAAGACTTGGGGTCCCTTAACTACTTCTTGGGAATTGAAGTAAAGTGGTGTCGTGGTGCCTTGATGCTTAGCCAAAAGAAATTTATTTTAGAGCTTTTGAGGAAAATTGGCATGGAAAATTCTTCACCATGTGCAACACCAATGGTTCTGACACCCAAGTTAGTTGAAGATGGCGAACCACTGACTAATGCTACCATATATCGATCCATCGTTGGGTTCTTATTATACGTTTGTCATACCAGGCCTGAGCTGGCCTTTAGTGTTGGAAAGGGGGCCCAATTTATGCATGCGCCTCATGCAAGTCATCTACCAGCAGTAAAACGGATCCGAAGGTACCTTGCAGGAACCCTTGAGTATGGGTTGGTGTTTCTGTCATCCAAGGCGAGGTATGCGGTTTCAGCATTTGCTGATGCTGACTGGGTTGCCAATGTCTCTGATCGTCGATCAGTTTCAGGCTTTGGAGTATTCCTTGACAATCACCTAGTTGCATGGAGCTCCAAGAAACAAAAAACCGTGTCACGATCAACCATGGAGGCTGAATACAAAAGTCTTGCTGACAATACTGCAGAGGTTACTTGGATAAGCACTCTAATTGATGAACTTGGGCTAAAGCAACACGGAAAATCTGTTATCTGGTGTGATAACACAGGGGCCGTGGCAATGAGTGCCAACCCAGTTTACCAATCACAATCGAAACACGTAGACCTTGATGTGCACTTTGTTCGCGAGAAGGTAACAGCTCAACAACTGTGTGTAAACTATATCCCTGCAACCCATCAAATTACAGAAGGCTTCACTAAACCACTGTCCAAAGCAGCTTTTGAAGTGTTTAGGGAAAAATTGGGGTACAATGTTTTCCTCAAGACCAAGAGAAAATAAGAAGTAGAGGGAATGTTAGCACAATGAGTCTATGAGCCTGTGAACGCCAGCACTTCTAGAGCATGCAGCATAAATGATTCTAGAAGCTTACTAGGAGTTAAGTTGTTAAAGATTTGTTGAGGTTGTTAGTAGTCAGTTACAAAGTCTGTACCAACCTTGTAAAACTGTATATAAGGATGTGAGAGATGTAGATCAATAATATACTTTTTCATCTTCTTCATTCAGCATACATAAGTTCGTTAGCTTAGATCAATATCCAACACAGTTCATTGCCAGAAGCAAACAGAAGCTCTAACCCATCTTTACATGAACAAGACGAGGGCAAGTTCTGGAATCGACAAGAGTCATTTAAAGCCAATTCATCACATAAACAAGACCAGTGTACATCCACAACAAGGAATGAAGGGAAAGGACATAATTCAAATGTTGCCCAGACAGCCTCGCGTCTCGCTCGAACAGTACGGTGGCTATGTGATTGTCGATAAATCGGTGAGTCGTGCACTTTATTATTATTTCATGGAAGCTCAGCATTATGCTAAGGAGTCCTTGCCTCTTCTTCTTTGGCTTAATGGAGGTACACTTCTAAATGATTGATTATTCTCTTTTCATTGATAATGCATTCTGGTTTTGTTGGTGTTGTATGATGAAGATGATCCTTCACGTCACAGGATTCTTATCTGGAAAATTTTGATGTGTCCATTGTGGCTCAAGTGGTCGCTTGTCTATTTCTGTGTCACTCTCTTTCCTGCAACGAGGACACATTTACAGTGACAGATAATCTAAAATTTTATAAATTCGTTCCTCTTAAAGTTTAATAAGTTTCTTTAATTTAATTGTTGTGAATGGCAAACAATTTTTAATTATTGAGTTTTACTGTTCTAACTTCTCATTTGTTCATACTGGCTACTTGCTATTAGAATATTAAGAAATAAAGAATGAAAACTGTCACACTTTTGACTTTATTCCCAATGCACCTCTAAATCTAACTGGTTTTTGATGAAATGCCACAGTGAAAATAATGATTTGATTGTATGATTTTGTGACCAGGGCCTGGTTGTTCATCTCTAGCCTATGGAGCAATGGAAGAGCTTGGACCCTCAGGGTTCATAGCAATGGAAAAACACTTTACAAAAATAGATACTCATGGAACTATGGTAACATTATATTTATGATCACATGTATCTTATCCGAATAGGATACCGCAGAATTTCATCTTGGAATCCTGAACAATTTTTTGGAATTGCAACTGCAAATGTTCTGTTTGTGGAGTCACCTGCTGGGATAGGATTTTCATACTCCAACACAACGTCAGATTATGACAAGAGTGGTGATAGTAAAACAGCTGTTGACAATTATGTGTTCCTGTTAAACTGGTTGGAGAGATTTCCTGAATACAAGAACAGGGAATTTTACATCGCTGGAGAAAGCTACGCGGGGCATTATGTCCCTCAACTTGCTCACACAATTCTCCAACACAACATCAAAGCTAACCAAACCCTCATCAATCTCAAAGGAATCCTAGTATCTCTCTCTCTGTTCTCTGTCTTTTAACCAATAATTCTGTTTTTTTTTTTTGCCAACATGAAGACTTGATTGAAGCTTAGGACATTATGGTACAGCTGCCATTGTTTAACCTTATTCTTTGCTGTGATCAATGATGAAACTGATAACAAAGGAATGTATGATTACATGGAGAGCCATGCTCTCATTTCTGATGAAACTGCACATGGGATAAAAAATACTGTAGTTTTTCATCCGAGTTGAGCTCGGAGATCAGTACCGAGTGCCAAGCAGCCATGGATGAAACTAGGGAAACTTACTACCTTGATATTTACAATATTTATTCCCTTTTATGCCACAATTCCAGTCTCACAGTCATTCCCAAGATAAGTTAAAACGAAGGTTAAACATCAAACATTCGGACGATGATGAATCCAGTAATCTGATTCTTTGATGTTCTGTGTAGGTGGCGAATTTTGACCCGTGCAGTGATGATTGCGTACATGCTTATCTAAACAGGGCTGATGTTCAAGAGGCCATGCATGCCAATGTAACGAAGCTCGACCATGATTAATTGGGAACCCTGCAGCGATATCAGCAGATAGGGAGATAGCCCTTCCACAATCATTCCCCTTTTAAAAGAATTAATCGCTAAAGGAATCAGAGTGGGGGTTTTCAGGTATTAAAATCATTGCCATAAACTTATATTTTATACGTGTCATCATTGCGTTGTGTAGATGTGGTATGTATTTTATATGATGTAATGCAGTGGCGATACTGATGGGAGAGTACCAGTTTCTTCAACCAAGTACTCCATTAAGAAGATGAAGCTTCCGGTTAAAACTAAGTTGCACCCATGGTACCTTGATGGGGAGATAAAACTTCCGAGTTAGTTTCAATTCGAGTCATGTTGGATTATTTTAGATAGTGATAGGACATTATCTGTGTGGCAGGTTGGAGGTTATACTGAGGTGTACAAAGGAGGTTTAACATCTGCTACCGAAAGAGGGGCGGGGCACCAAGTGCCAAGCTTCCAACCAAAGAGGGCACTTTCATTGATCTGGCATTTTCTTCCCGGAGACCTCACGTTACTAGCTATTTCATCTTTCATTGTTTCAATCGTCTTCAATAGGTCTCGATTTCGGGAAAATTGTATATCATGACATATCTCCATCTTCTTACATATACAAATATTGATTCTAAACTCTCAAAAAAATGCATTTGATGTTTTTGGTATGATAGACCCAACCAGACAATATTTGAAACAAGGTTTCATTAATTATGTCTCCATGGAAGGCACAGAAACAACTGGCAATCCAATAATTCAGCAACAGCAGCAAGAAAAAGGCTGAAAATTTAATAATTCCAGTGTCTCAATCAAGTTAAACAAGGACTGGTTCACAATTTTTAACTCAAAACTTGTACAAGGAAAAAAAATAAATCAGAGAAGACAAATCTCTGTACTCATCGAGGTGGGTTCTTTCATCAAACAAAGCCAACTCTTTTTTATTCCCCAACAGCCTCTAATCACTTTAGAAAGGGGCCTACATCAGATGCACAAGAACAGCATGTTATGTAAAGTTCAACCATATTAATCAATAAAATAAAAAAAATGACAAGTTGGCAATTGGTACACAATAAAAAGTCAAATTGATCAAGTTTAGTTAAAGGTCTCATTGACCTCCACAAAATGCAAGACACCTAGGCTTTGGGTCACATGTCAACACCCTAAACACAATCCTCGTTTACAGACAAACTTTAACTCAAGTCACTAGTCCTATAGGAAGCTCTAACCAGACATAATATAAACAATCAAGATACACAAGGCAAAAAAATTCGTAGGCATGACTAGAGCCCTAGCGAGCGGCATATGGCAAGATAGCCCCTTCTCTGCAAGGAATCCAAAAAATGTGAATGCATCAGCTGTATAACTTTCTCTTGACTCACTATAAACAGCTTAAATAATGAGCAAGATCACACAACCTGTTGTCAATGACAGATGATTCAGTCTTTACTAACATTATCCACAAAGCTCCTCAATATAGAGAAATTAAATGCATTGCAAGTAATCTCCTAGTGGAAAGATAAGCCCTTAACAATTTAATAAGCATATTGAGTTCATAGAGAGCAACTCAATTCCAATATATAATTTTAGGAACTCCATGGAAATGGTCAGGTTAATTGCCGTGATATCTGCATAAAAAGAAAGTAAATACATCTTGTCTGAATCTACGTTGGCTAATCTTACTTTTTAGGTTCCCCTATTTTTTTGTCAGTTTGTGCAAGTTGAACTAAAATCAGATTATTTATATTTACCTTAGTTGACTGATTGATGGCTGGAACCTTTTTTGATGTAACATGCTTCTTTTCCATTTCCCTCTACGAAGCAAGTGAGAAAGTGGAATCGTTATTGCTAAAATGATTTTCTAATACTAAGCTGATGAAAATTGATGGCACCTGAAGAAATTTACCAAAGAAATAAAGGGGATGACATCCCTGTGCAGTTCTCACTTCTCCCAAAGAAAACACAAGCTGATCTGCCAAAGGACACTAAATCTCTGTAGCTTCTATCTCAACACAGGGTATGTGGGATATCAATGGCCAATATTCCCCCTTATCTCTTGAACATAGATTTTCCAGAAGTGGACAGTTCCTGATACAAAGTCTTCCAAGTGTTGCAGGCAATCCTTCCTTTGGCAAACGTTGAAGCTTAGGACATCCGACAACCTCTAGTTCTTCAAGTGAGGGTAGATTTTGAAGCCCCTTGGTCAGGGATTCTAGATTATGGAGTTTTGCTATATATATGGAAACTATAGTTGCAGGAAGCAGACACTTTTCATCTGGAAAGGAAACCATCTCTGGTCCACCAGCAATGCTGAAATCTTGAAGAGAGATTAATGTGTGTAGGTTCCATTCTGATACTGGTTCCTTGAGTTCTTTACAATACCAGATCTCAAGTGACAATAGATTAGGAGGCAAACCCCCTCTAGGAAAAGAAAGAAGACTCGGACAATCACAAATTGTTAAATATTGAAGGGAAGTGAGATTTGACATCTGATCAGGTAGAGACTTGAGCTCCACACAGTTGCAGATATTTAAAGTTCTAAGGTTGGGAAGGAGGAAACCCATCTCTGGGAAGCATTTCAGATTTTGACAATTGCTTATATTTAATTCTACCAGCGACATGAGCTTGCATAGTGACTCTGGAAGGCTTATTAGAGTTGAACACTTCCAAATATCAATATATTCAAGTGATGCATTGTTAGGCAGCATCCTATCAGAAAGGGTTTCCAGCTTCAAGCAATCCCAAATCTTAAGCACTTTAAGGGTAGTTGGTAATTTACCTTCTGGAAAGTAACGGAGAGATGGGCATCTGATGATCTCCAATTTCTCAAGATAAGATGTATATTTGTTGTTGTCAGCATGCATCAATCCCTCAGGTAGAAAACATAGGTTGATGCACCCTTGGACTTTTAACCTTTTTAATTTAGGAGGTAAATTCTCTCTTGGAAAGCATGTGAGTAAAGGACATTCTTCAATTTCCAAGTCTTCAAGAAGACATCCACTGATTATCCAAATAGGCAGGCTCTTAAGCGCAGGACAATCTCGGAGCTTCAGATGCTGAAGTCTGGACAAGAAAGCTGTCTCTGAAAAGGATACAAATTTTGGGCATGATTCGATATGCAATCGTTCAAGAGACACGGGGAAATACATCTTATTATGCCCTTGATTTCTTTCATTTCCAGCTAGTGATAAAGAGGGAGAACTTCCATTAATCTTTACAGGCTCAATAGAAACAACAGCCTCACATTCAGTAACCTTCTGCCACAAGGATGTCAATCCAATGCAATTGGAAATGGAAAGATGCTTTAGTGCTCCTGGAAACTGTTCAAACACATCTGGAAGGCAGGTAAGGTATGGCAGACTCCTGACTCTCAGTGTAGTTAGAGAGGTAAGGTCAACCAGTCTCACTGGAACCATTTTATTGCAATCTTCAATATTTAGTTCATGAATAGATAGGAAGCTCATGACTGAATCAGCCATGTTCGGGCATCCTTTGACTGTAAGCTTCAGTAGAGAAGGCAGGTATCTGGGTAGCTGATGCAACTTTGGACAATTATGAATCATAACCTCACGTAGATTAGGGAATTCTCCATCTCCTTTATTAGCTTCGTTAGGATAATACCAATGTTTCCATTCCAACATATTCTGAAATTGTAGAACTTCCAAAACAGGAAAAGGCTTAAAAGTAGGTAGGCTACCTCCGTAAAACTCAAAATCTAATTTTTTGACCCCATTCATGCCTTCAATTGACATCATCTTCAGAGATGGTAGTCTCCCAAGTGCTGGAAGGGACGTAATGTTTCTACAGTTCGAGAGGTCTATATCCACAATATTAGCCAATGAAGGACCACCAAACCAGGATGGAAATTTTGTACCACCATAAAACACAATTCTAATTTTTTTGAGATTTTCATGAGGTTGTAGCATGCTGAAAACAGGCATTGCATTTTCACTATTTCCAGCATCAATGAACTCTTGACTCCATTGCAACTCTAAGCTGTCAAGCCCCTGCTTATCTTTCAGAATGCACTCCCTAGCATCTCGAGTATCAACCACATTTTCAAGTCCACAAATAGAAAGCTCCTTTCGCAAATGCAACAAGTCCTTCAATTCTCCAATGTTAGGCCTCCCATCCTTCGGCACAACGAATTTGGACAAAATCTGTAGATCTTTCAGATTACCGATATGCATAGGCATCTCAGCCAAATTATCGGTATCAGTAAGATCAAGAACATGAAGATTAAGCAGGTTCCCAATTGCTTGAGGAAACTTAATAAGGTTCTTGCACCCATGCAATATCAATGTCTGCAAGTTGATAAGAGAACCCAAAGAATCAGGCAATGATTTGATTCTGGTGTGAGATAAATTAAAGTACCTTAGTTGAATCAAACCACCAATTTGATGAGGTAGCTCATCAATGCAATAACCACTCAGACACAAAACCCTTAAATGACTTAACCTTGGCAGCAACTCTTGTAAGACTTTGTTACTTAAATAGGAATTCGCTGCCAAAGGCAATGTTTGAATTGGTAATGCTAAGAAAGTTCTTAAACTTTTCATCTGAAACAAAATTTCAAATCTTTTTGGAATGTCAAACGGGTGACGGAGGAATGAAAAATGACGAAACTTTTCAACTCTTGCATATAATTCGTCTCCATCGAAATTGAAGCATGTTTCTCTGGAAACAAATTGAGCTAGGTCATTTATGAGATCATGCATCACATAACGAGCTTTGTTTCTAGTTGACTGTTGGAAAAAAGATCTTGTCCACAAATCATTAAAATATTCAGTTCCTATATCCTTCATTTGCCTCTTTCCTTTCGCCTGTTGAAAGAAACCCTCTGCCATCCACAACAAAACCAATTCATCCTTCTCAAATTCATAATCCTTTGGAAATAAAGCACAATAAGAAAAACATCGCTTCAAATGGAAAGGAAGGTGATGGTAGCTCAATCTTAGGGCTGGAAGGATGCCGCTTCTTTCTTCAGGCAAGTCCCACATCTTGCTCTTTAATATATCTTCCCATTCTTGACGGTTCCCTTTAGTACGCAGGAGTCCTCCAAGGGTCTTGGCCGCCAAAGGCAACCCTTTGCACTTCCTCACTATTTCCTCTCCAATTACTTTTAGGTTCGGGTGTTCTTCGAAATCTGAAGTCCCAAGGGCATGCCGGGCAAACAATGAGAAACAATCATCATCTGTCAATTCTTTCAAATGATAAGTCCCACAAGTAGCCATGATCGATGCAACACCTTCATTTCGAGTTGTCACAAGTATTCTGCTTCCAGCTTCCCCCGCGATGAAGGGCCTACAAAGAATTTCCCATTTATCATAGTTCTCATTCCAAACATCATCTAAAACAACTAAACTTTTCTTTCCCAACAACTTCTCCTTCACTCTAACTTGGAGTAAGTTCAGATCATTTAAATCGCAACTCTCCAAAGTAACAGCCTGAAGCACCGTGGCAGTCACCTTAGCAACATCAAATTCTTCAGATACACAAACCCAGATTCTCAAATCAAAGAAGCTTTCAACTTTGGCATCATTGTACACTAACTGAGCTAGAGTGGTTTTACCCACACCACCCATACCCACAATGGAAACTACACCAATATCAGTAACACCATCATCACAATCGTTCATCAACAAATCAAGAACAGCCTCTTTATCCCTTTCCCTGCCGTAAACACGAGACTCATCGACAAGAGAACTGGTTCTTAGCCTCTCCCTCATCCTTTCATCCCTCCCTCTATCATTCTCTACCAATCTCAAATCATTCTTCATTGCAACAGCCTCTTCCAATCTAACAGTAAGACCCTTTAATCTGGATGCCATTTTGGTGCTAAACTTAACCGTTTTTGAAGGATTACAACTAAGACAACAAGTCGAAATATATCTCTTCACCTTGTTAGTGGGGGAAGAGGGGTTCTGTTCTCCCATCATTTGACGGCGAAGAGCTTCAGTGGCGAGCTCGTCGATGATATCATCGGCATCATAAGCAATGTCTCTTAACTCGCTGAGCCACAGCTTCACTGAGCGGCTCGTTGTTTGCTTTTCTTCTGCATCTTCGAGCAAAGCATTGATATTGAGCAGCAGCTTTTTCCATTTCTCGAGCTCCGATGAAAATTTATCTTTGTGTGCAAATTTCACGAAGTGGTGCGAGGAGATGAAGTCTACCAGCGAACGAAACAAAGCAGAGACGACGGCGTCGCCCAGAGAAGCCGCTAGAACTTCCATTAACAGAAAAAAAAAAAAGATTAAGCTAAAAGCACCGTAATTTGACACTGAAACAAACCCCGTTAACTTGCAGGATGCGTGAAAGGCGGAAGTGAATTTTATTTCAGCTTTGAATTATTAAATAATTTATGCGGCAAATGCGTTATACATATGTCTTTAAACTATTATTAAAATATAAATATCATATAAAATAAGGTTTTATATCAATTTGATTATAAATTTAAATATTTAGAATTATTTTTCATATAATATATTTAAGATATATAGATTAAATTTTTAATATATATATATATATATATTAAAATAATTTAAATACGAAATATTAAAAAGTAGTCATATAATATTTAATGATACTATTTACCATTTTTAACATATCATACTGTTGTTCAAATTTATATGTATACATTAGGGTGTAAACTAGCCGAGTCGAGCTCGAGTATTGCTGAGCTCGACTCGAAAACTCTGAAATGGAACTCGATTCGACTCGAAAATTTGCGAGTTTAAAATTTTCAAGCTCGACACGAACTCGAAATGAAGAAAAAAATTTCTTAAACTTAACTTGATTGAATCTTCAAACTCAAACTCGAACATGAACCTTAAATACATGAAATCTTAATGTATTTTTAAAAAAAATTAATATATAAAAATTAATATTATTAATAATTTATTTTAAAAAAATAAAATCTTAATATATTATATTTTCGAGATGTTCACGAGCTTTTTGAGTCGAATATCGAGTAGCTCATTTTGGCTCGTTAAGAACTGGAGTCGAGCTCGAGTCGAGTCCATTCGATCCTAGTATTTATCGAGACTTAATGGAGTCGATCTCGAGTAGCTCACGATCTGTCTCGTCTCATTTACAACCCTAGTATACATATATCATATTGACTCAATATTTTATGTTAAAATTAATAATTAATTTAATTTAATTAATATACCATTAATACTCTAAAAGCTTCATTAAAATATGAAAAATCAATTTAAAATATTCTATTAATCATTTTGTTTAATCCGCGTTCGGACACAAAACAACGGTCTCTTTTGTTTTGTAAGCCAAATTGTACTTGAAATTAATAAACAATGAAAAGAAAGTAATTTGAGTTGGCAAACTAATCTAATCTAATCTAATCTAATCTAATCTAATCTACTAATTTATTAATTCATTTATAGACGTTAAAGTTGAAAAAGGGAAAAATATAATTCATTAATTAATCAAGAAGTTTTGGTTCAGATTGTAATCGATATTTATATTAAATCAGATTAAATATTATATATATTATTAAATTAATTTATTCTATATATATAATATTAAAATTAAAAATTTTAATTTTATTTTAATAAAAATTAGTTTTCATTTTATTAGACTCACAATATATATATATATATACACACACAAAGCTAATGCTATGGTGGTAGCATAGGATGAGCAAAGGCGGGAAATTCTACAGTGCGGCATCTTAATATATAGCTAAAATAAGACGTTACCGATTTTGTTAGTGTTTAAATAATAAAATTGTAAAAAATTACCTAAAGTATTTTGTTTGATAATTCAATTTTATTACCCAAAGAAGCATAACTAGGGATGGCAATGGGTCGGGTCGGGTCGGGTTTTTGGGCCACCCGACCCGACCCGAGAAGAAAGGGTTCTCCACCCGTGACCCGACCCGACCCGACAAAATTAATGTTTCACCCGACCCGGCCCGACCCGAATATATGACTTAGAAACCCGACCCGACCCGACCCGAAATAATAATAAAAAAAAATTTAATTCAATGAAAACAGTGACTTAATTGAAAAAAATTATATGGAGGGATATTATTGTAATTATCCCTAAATATATAAGATAAAATTATATATATTTTCGGGTCGGGTCGGGTCGGATTTTTTTTACCCTAAACCCGACCCGACCCGACCCGAACAGTGCACTTAAAAAAAACCCGACCCGACCCGACCCGAACCCGAAATTTTTTTAAAAAAATCCGACCCGATCGGGTCGGGTCGGAACCCGTCGGATTCGGGTTGAATTGCCATCCCTAAGCATAACTGCTACAAAAAAAATCACCGATCACCTAAGATATTTATATACCTAAAATATTATTATTTTTATCTAAAATATCATTTTTAACATTTTCGGTAAAGGTGTCCAAGAATAATAAAACCGATAACGCCTAATAATATTTCCGGTCATTTTTTCAAAAATCCGATTAAAACATCCAAATAATAACAAAACCGGTAGCGTCTAATAATATTTTTGATCATTTTTTATCGATTTTATTATTTAAACAAAAATAAAATCGATAATATTTTTTTATCTTATATTAAAACTGTCGCACGTTAACATTCCCCGCAAAAGCTCTATTAAAAGTTTTTTTGATTACAACTGATTTCTAATATTTTTTAATCTTATATGAACTTGTTGTATTTTAGAGTCATCCTATCTATCATCACCAAAGGGAAAACGAAAAAAGTAATAATAATGGAGAGCAGAGAAATCCTGAGCTTGCGTCTGCTTTCAGCTACCAAGCATCATTCTCGGCATCAGAGAAGTTAGGCCTTTGATATGACTCAAATAGCTGCGACCATAATTAGCCAAACCAGATAACTACGTACACCTACGACGAACAGAATGTAATTCCATACCATTTTCAATTTCGTAAAGACGAAAAGTAGTCAAAGTTATCCTTTACTTGTTTAATTCTCTCACTTTCCGCAATGACTTTATTCCCTTTAGATTTCTTCAGACTCAAGTTTTAAGCATCCGAACATGAGAAGCTAGGAATTTGATGTTGTATTGGCTGTTGCTATGAAATAATTGACATTTCATTTCAATCCTTTACTTCACAGGCAATCCAAACCAAAACCGTGTAAGAAACAAGTGACCGACACTATTATATATTAAGAGGTAAATTTTTAAAGTCTTTAAAAAATAAATTTTTAAGTGATAAAAATAAATTATATTTTTTAAAATATATAATAATTTAAAATTTTTAAAAAATCTACTCTGTCTGATCACTCGCCTCAATTTATCCCGGCAAGAAACTACTTGCTGGAGACGTTTTCGTTCTTGCCGGAGACGTTTTCGTAAACTAGTGTTTGTAACTCTCTAATCTATAATTAGTAAAGTACGTGGAGGCACGACACAATGCAACATCAACTCGCCAAGTGCCGACGACAATCTGGTGGGCAGAGCATGTTACTTCTGCCTGTGCACTTTCCTCGTAGCTTCTCATCTCTTGGATGTTATCCCATGTACGTGTTTCTTTGTTGGTGCCAACATTTGGCAGTTGGCTATTATTTCAAAAATAATCTAAAATACAACTTATTTTATTTAATAATTATTTTAGGATAGATTTGTTATGTCGGTATCCGTATAAATTAGTTGATCTTATTCTCATATGTAATGAGGTGAAGATGAGGTAAGGTAGTAGACTATCCCAACAAGTTAAAAGCAACTTTCATGTAAAACCTCCAACAGCCAATAATCCCGATGCAATAGTTGTGCGTTCGCCATTGATCACCATTTTAGCTCTCGTGTTTGTTGAAATTTTTATGGTGATTTGAGCGGTCAAATTTTTTGTCAAAGTGAGGAAAGGTACATCTCGAAACCAATCCGATTTGTGACAGAATCAAAACAACATAAAAGAGTATTGATACTTACTTTTTAATTAAGACTTTTTATTAAATATTTGTTATATTAATGCTCTCATTCAACGATTTGATCTCCTCTCCTATATAGTATCTAAAAAAGTTAATTGTATTATACCTCCTTAAATTATTATTCTCATTTAAATTGATCTTTAAATCTTTAAACATTTTAATTTTATCACTAAATTATGATTTATGTTAAATCAGTCCTCAAATTTTTGAATATTTTAATTTCATCCTCAAACTATGACTCATATTCTAAATTGGTTCTTGAAGTTTTGAATATTTTAATTTCATCTCGTTAGTTGACTAACCGCTTCCTACTGACATGGAATGTCTACGTGTGATTTTAGTAAATTAATAACAACCAATAAAATGGTGACACGCGATATCATCTGATTAGTTTAAAAGTAAGCAACAAAGAACAAACCAAAGAATGACTCTAACGGGATTCAACCCTAGGTCTGATGGGAGGAATGCGTATAACGCCTAACCATCAGGCCAGGTTTTTTTTCTTGTCAAATTTTTACCAACAACACTATTTAGATTAAACTGGAATGATAATTAATTACATATATTCGAGAAAACATTTTAGTTATTTTGGCAATGCGGTTTGTAAGTGGAATTGTAATTTGTTATGTTTCATACTATGAACGATGCAATTAAACATGCTTCTCTTTTTTATTTTGACAGTAAAATTTTAGCAGTAAAGTTTATTTCATGAAACAAATCGTGGGAAACGCTTGTGAAACAATTGGACTTCTTCACAATGATGGAAATATATATTACATCAGAGATCAACCTTAACCTATTCTAGTTTCCCAGTTTATTGATACTTTTAATTTGAAGGAAAAGTTGTAGGAGCAAGATACGTGACATCTCTTCACAATTGGCCATGTGATGGAAATATTACATCAGAAATCAACCTTAGCCTATTATAATTTCCATTTTGTTGAATAACGGTGAATGCTTTATTTTATCTTAATTCCAGTTTCTAAGTAACTGACAAGGATGAGTCAGAATTAAATGTTGACAGGAGTCGAAGTATTAGACTATTTAAAAAATATATAAAGACTTATTAGGTTTTTAAATTCGAAATTCAGCATAAACAAATGACCTTAATAATTAAGGGGATTGTTGTTATCTTTGAGGTCCCAAGTTCAAGCACTACATATGTAGGGCTATGAGCGCTCATTGTTAAATAGTTAAAAGTCTTTGTACATATATTATCTTGTATTCACCTTAAATTTATAATAAAGAACTCAAAATTCACAAGATAACTTCTAATTTGTCTAATATTTAAACTTACAATGACCTAAATTATAATTAAACTAAAAATTTTAGAACATGTACTTATCATTCTTTAGTTCGACTACTACTTGATTAAATATTTAATATTTTTTTATATTTTTTAAATTTAAATATTTATTTTTATATGAACTAAAATATTATTAAATCAAAAATTATATCAAATATATAAATTTTAACTGGAGTCGGGACACCTTGGGCCGAGCTCCGTCCCTGGTCACTGACCTTGCATTGATACTTTTAATTTGAAGGAAAAGTTGTAGGAGCAAGAGATGCCGCATGATGAAGATTCGATAACAAGGGAACCTTTTTTCTGTCTCAATGCAAGAAACATTAACTGTTAATCAATTAAATATATTGATTTTGTCATTATGCCTTTAGAATAGGGACGATAGTTTGGGCAGTGATGTAATTAACTTTTTATAACATGGAGAAACTTCGGAGCTATTACATTTTAGTAACTCTTAACTTTAGCTTTGAACTATAATTTTACCATTTACTTTGGTTTTATAATGCAATTTGACAACCCCCCCCCCCACCCAACAACCCAAATGGCATCTAATAAGAAGTCAAGAGATAAATCTCAACTCAAAATAAAAATTAGTTGCAAATTGTAAAAATAAAAAGGGTAGATTATACTTATGACCACTTAATTATTGTTCATTTTCATTTTAACCATCGATCTTTTAATTTTGTCAATCAGACTATAAAACTTCCCATTAACATTTAACGGAAGTGTTGACGTGATAATTAATAAAATTGGTATAATTATACATTTGATCCTCAATATTTGAGTTATGATCATGAAATATACAATAGTTAAAACAATAATATATAAATATATATATATTTATGCTATAGTTAATGCCAAAAAAAGAAAAGGAAAATGAACATGAAGGGGTTCAGACCTAGATTAAATAAAAATCTAAGGAGCACTAAATCACTAAAGCAAATCTTAAATTTAGATAATAGTTGGATAGATTTCCTATATTTTTTAAATACCAGTTTATACAACATTAAAAGAAAATTTTTAAATTATATATTTTTAAACCAAATTTAATAATTATTTTTTTACATTTATAATTTAATGATTATATATAATTTTAAAATAATTGGTTTTAATTTAATTTAAAAAATAAAATGTACAAAAAATATAAATGATTCAATTTATATTTAAATTCACAAATCATTTGTATTTTCCATACATTTTATTTTTATTGTATAAATTAGTATATCAAATATATTTATATTTTAATAAAAATATTTAAAAGTATGAATAAAAATATATTTATATATTTAAATGTATGAATCATTTATATATATTTATATATTTTATTTTTAAGAAAAAATATTAATTAAACTAAAAATACCCAATTTAAGATTATATATAATTATTGAATTATAAATATAAAAAATATTAAATTTAGACTATTTAGTTTAAAAAAATACAAATCTTAAATTTATTTTTTCTTTTTATTTTGTATCAACTAGTATTTAAATTATATGTGAAATTTATTAAACTATTATTCAAATGTAAGATTTTTTTAAGTGGTTTAGTGCTCATAAGTTTTTTATTTAGTCTAGGTTCGAATTCTTTCATGTCCATTTTTCTTTCCTTTTTCTGGAATTAACATGTAAGATTTGTTTAGTGGATTAAGTGGTGTATTTCATTATCATAACTCAAATATTGAGGTTGGCTCGGTGACTAAGGCATATGCATTTCTTTCTTAGACTCAAGTTTGATTCCTCCTTGACTCTTGCTTATTACCTTTCTTTGTAATTGTTTTACCTCCGATTAGATAGTGACACATGTTATTTTATCATCACCTAAACAGAAGAAAAATAATTTAATTAAATAAATTTAAAATATAAAGAACCTTTAATAAAATAGTGACACGTGTCACATTCGAATTAGAGGATTACATTTACTGAGTTAAATTAAAATTAGAATCAAATGGATAAAATGAATAAATATTGAAGATCAAATATATAATTATAATAATTTTGTTAATTATCACGTAAATTCCGTTAAGTGTTAACAACATATGATTTGATTGATATTATTTAAATAATTTAGTTGTCTGATTAAAAAAATTAAAAGATTGATGATTGAAGAAAAAAGAAACTATAATTAAGCGGTAATAGGGTATAGTTTATCCAAATAAAATAAAAACGAAGCCACTTTCGGTGGACGCTAAACACTAATCTAATGTACGAATCCAAGGAGCCATTTACTTTTGCTTTTCGCTTACGCGTGATATTATTTTTGTTGTTTTGAAAACAGACAACTGGAAGTCTCACGGGGGCATATACGGATAAGAAAAGTATTATCCGAAATATTATTATTTTTTAATAATTTTAGTAAAAGTTTATCTAAAATATTATTATTTTTATTAAAAATATTATTTTTTGATATTTTATCGGGTTTGGTAATATATCTGGTATAAAAAATAATATTTTAGGTAATATTTTACCGGATATATGACTAAATCTGATAAAGCACCTAATAATAACATTTCTGATAGAAATAATAATATTTTAGATAATTTTTTATCAAAAATATTAAAAAAATAAATACATTTCTGATAACACATTTTCTTAACAGTATATTAAGACTTTCTACAATTATAATTAATAATTTGATTGAATTAACTATTGATATTATTATTCGACATAATAACAACTCTAATACCTAGCATTTACCCTTTTATCATTTTGACCCTAATTTTTTTATATCACTTTCAGCTCAACCTTTAAAAATTACTAAAAAATTTCTGACAAAAAGTTGATATTAACGTTAAATTTTTTAGGAAAAAGTAAACAAATGGTACCATAACTATAGATCGTTATTTTGTTGAGTCCACTGATTATTAAAAGAAACAAAACAATCACTCAACTATTCAAATGTTCAATTCTCGTCCTTTCCCATTAAAAATTTGACAGTTGTTGGATTGGACGTTAACCTATTGAGTAGGGTATGATAAAATCATATTTTAATGATGTTTATTGGCAATGACGTTGCTTTCAAACACTGACTCAACGACATAATGTTTCAAATACTGACTCAACGACATAATGTTTCAAACACTGACTTAACGACGTAATATAAATAGATAGTCAATAAAAAAATATAACTCAAATAGTTCTAAATTAGATTTTATCATATCTCAGTCAATATGTTATCGTCCAATTTAGACAGACTCTAATTTTTTAATGAAAAATGACGAGTTTGAAACATATGAATAGTTAAGTAACCATTTTAAATTTTTTAATAGTCGAACGACTTAACAAAGAAATACTTTATAGTTAGGGGACAATTTTATAATTTTTAATAATCGGGCAACTAAACAAAGCAATACCCTATATCCGGAGGACCATTTCTGTGTTTTACTCAAATTTTTAACGTTAAAATTTTACCGTTAAAATAAAATTAGGAGGTTTTTAAATTTTTTAATAACTTTTATTACTACATCAACGTTATGAAATTTTAATGACATAATCAGATGTTCATCTAAAATACAATAAATTAGTTAAATTTTATTGATTAAAAATTAATCTAAAAACTAAATAAGGGCCAAAGTGACAGAACATGATATTAGAGCCATTTCGGCTCTTCGTCGATTGATTGACTTCTTCTTCGTTAAGTCTTGCTTTCTCTGTCGTCTCGAGCTTTGCTTTCTCTGTCATTTTCTTCACAATATATCGTCATCTTGTGAGTTATTCATCAACGATTCGTTCAATATATCATTTGATTCGTTCAAGCATTCAGTTCTAAATCTGAAACATAACTTGTATTAACTTTCTAATAATATCATTAATCTCTCTCACCAACTCTTTCATACATTTACATAATAATCTAAAAACAGAAAGCAAGGCGCTTCAATCTATTTGAAGGCAAGGGATGCCGCGAATGATGGACCAGTACTCTCCTTTCTCTTTTCTGCACTTGTCTCGTAAAACAGGGCAGCCTGAGATGCATAGCCGTCCCAGTGAGACTGGTAGTCCCGTCTTCGGCAAATATCGGAGCTTACGGCATCCTTTAATCTGCAGTTCTTGGAGATCGACGAGGTTCTCGACTTCCCTGGACAAATATTCCAAGTTGTCGAGTCGTTCCAGGCAAAGACTTTTTAAAGTCGAAGGAAGCATTACACCCTCGTATGGAAACGAAACAATATCTGTAGCAGGACATGTACCAACAACTTTGAGTTCTGTAAGAGAATTGAGTTTGTCCAGGCCCCACTCTGACATTGGCTGCTTCAGATTTTCACAATTGCTCAACTCAAGTGAAGTTAAGTTGGGGGGAAAACCGCCCTCTGGAATCAATGTCAGAGCCACAATGTCTGATAAACTCAGTTCTTGAAGTGAGTTGAGGTTCCACATGGGGTTAGGCAGTGCACAGATATTCATACAAGCAGATATTCTAAGAACTTCGAGATTGAGCACTATTCCATCGGGAAGACACTGTAGATTTCTGCAGTTTTCTATTCTCAAGCTCTCGAGTGTTAAAGGCAACTTGCCTTTGGGGAAGGATACGAGAGAAGGACATCCCATAATCTCTAACTCTTCAAGATTGCAGCCATTCATGTCTGGTAACGACCCCATAGCCTTGCAGTCATGGATTGTGAGGCACTTCATCGTACAAGGCAACCCTTTTGCTGGCAATGACACAAAATTTTGGCAGCTATCGATCCTGAGATTTGTAAGAGACGAGAGGCAGCATAGTCCTTGCCCTCGCTCTTCTCCGACCAAGGATACAAGCTTGGGACATTTCTTTACTGCCAAACTCTTTAGCCGATTCAGGTTTTGCAATTCTGCTCCGTTCCGCCACAAACATGTTAGTTCACTGCAACCTTCAATCTGTAGAACTTCGAGTTTCATTAAGGCCTTTGAGAGCTCCTCGATTATGCAGGTAAGGTCTGATATTCCCTTGATTTTCAAGCTGGTGATGTTTTGACCAACTATACTTCTAAGAATCATGCTGCTACTGTCCTCCATGGTTAATTCGCCTAAGAATGGGAAGCTTAAAGGTGAAATTGTTAACCGTGGGCAGTTTTGAACATCTAGTTTTACTAGAGAACCAAGGGTTCTTGGTAACGTTCCGGCTAATCTAGGACAGTTGTGCAGTATAAGCTCACGAAGACAAGGGAAAACTTCCGTGTCACCAACAGATGAAATCCATTCTTTCCATTCTGACATGTTCTCAAACCTCAAGATCTCCAAAGATTGAAAACCATTCCTGAAAAATTCAGGGCCCAACTTCGTCACTGCATGCATGCCTCTTACGTTTAAGCTTCTGAGTGACGGTAGTTGCCCGAGTGATGGCAATGATTTGCAATTCATACAGTCAAAGAGGTCTATCTGCTCTATTTTAGCAAAAGAAGGATTCCCTACCCAAGATGGGAACTTTGTAGCTCGATAATATGAAATCGACAGCCGTTGGAGATCTTTCGGGGGTTGCAGTGACTCAAGGACCTGCATTTGGTTCTCTCTCTTTTTGCAATCGTTGCTCCATTTGAGGGCTAACTCCTTCAGGCCGTGTTTTTGCCTTAGGTTGGCAATCCTTGAATCTTGAATATCCACCACGTTATGCAGCCCCATGATGGAAAGGTGACCTTGAAGAGATAAATCCTTTAACTCCCTTAATGACGGCCCTCCAGCTTTCCCGACAATGAATTTGGGCAATATCCGGAGACTGGTCAAGTTTCCGAGTCCTGGTGGCAGCTCTTGTAGCTTGGGAGTATCGCTGATGTCAAGACGAGTCAATTTACTCAGTTCACAGATTTCAACAGGCAAAGCAGTTAGTTCTTTGCATTGGTTTAATATTAACATTTGTAACTGGTAAAGAGAACCGATTGACCGAGGCAGCAACCTTATTGCGGTTCTAGACAAATTAAGGGACCGCAAATGCTTAAGTTCTCCAATCGAACTCGATAACTCTTCGATGAAATAGCCACTCAAGGATAACACTCTTAAGCATTTTAATTTTGGCAGCAATTCCTGTGATACCTTGCTACTTAAGTAGCAGTATCCTCTCTGATACGATGTTGGCAGTGCTAGGAAAGACCGCACATGCTTCATATTGTTGAAGATTTCAAATCTTTGCGACACATCGTATCGGCGGGGAATGAATGACACATGACGAGCCATTTCAAAATGACGCTGGCCAACGGTGATGTGCTGTCCGTGCTCCATATTAAAGCAGAAGTCCCCGGCAACAGATTGAGCAAAATCGATGAATAGGTCATGCATTACAAACAGCGATTTGTTTTTTTTTGACTGCTTAAAATATGACCTTGATAGCAGATCGGAGAAGTACTCACGACCCGAGTCTTCTGGTTGCTTGCTCCCTTTTGGTTGCACGAAGCCCTCTGCTATCCATAAGAGAACCAACACATCACTATCGAGTTCATAGCCCTTCGGAATCAAAGAGCAGTAAGAAAAACATGGCTTCAAATGAGAAGAGAGGTGATGGTAACTCAATCCTAGAGCTGCAACAATGACTCCTTTTTCTTCTGTTAGATCCCACAGATTGCTCCTGGATACGGCTTCCCATTCTTTGTATGTCGGCTTGTTTCGCAAGACGCCTGCCAGAGCTTTTACTGCCGAAGGTAATCCCTTGCATTTCTTCAATATATCATTGCTGATTCCTTCCAGATATTGATGACCTTCAAAGTTTTTGCTTCCCAAAGTATGGCAGGCTAGAATCGACAAACAATCATTGTCTGCCAACTCTTTTAAAGGAAAAACAGGATATAAGAGACCTGTTATTTGTGAAACGTTTTGATTCTGAGTGGTGACGATGATTTTGCATACCAAGTTCTCGACTTCAAAAGGTCTGATAAGGAGACTCCATTCATCGTAGTTTTGGTGCCATACGTCATCCAAGACAAGTAGAAATTTCTTCCCTGATAGTTCATCCTTTAGTTTGAGCTGAAGCAAATTCAAGTCATCTGTATCACAAATTCTAGGCTTGACAGCATCTAAAATGGCTTTTGTGATCTTTATGACATCAAAATCTTCCGAGACATAGATCCATGCTCGCAAGTTGAAAAAACGTTCGACTTCTCGATCATTGTAAACCAGCTGAGCAAGAGTGGTCTTGCCAATTCCTGTCATACCAGTTATGTTGAGCACAGGCACTTGAACATGGTCACTTGCTTGCTCGACAAGCAACCATTTAAGTATTGCTTCCTTCTCATCTCCCCTGCCGAAGACATTGACTTCAGCGACTACAGATGTTGTGGGCAGCCTTTTATAATCTCTTGCTTTGTAGTTCTTTCCTCCGACATTCTCACCGAGTCCTAGGTTGTTCTTTTCACTCGTAATCTCCTGCAGCTTTTTGGTGATCGCCGTTATCTTTGACCCCATCTTCACGTTAAACATCGTACCACGTCCACCACTCCATTTCAAACCTCTCAAACAATTGTTTTTCATGGTGGACTTCGGTCGCGAATGTTCATAGGAGAACTCCTCTAATACGTCCTCGACATCATAAGCCGTTTCTTTTAGCTCTTTCAACCAGACTTCAACACTCCTATTCTTCGCTTGCTTCTCTTCGGCATCGGCGAGAACGGCGTTGATGCCCCGCAATATCTTCTCCCACTTCTTGAGTTCATTATAAACTTTCTTCTTCGTAGTGAAGTTTATCAAGTCCGAAGCGTTTAACTTGGCGAGTAACGCTTCAAACATGGTAGAGAAAAAAGCTTCTCCAACCGCAGAAACGACTTCCATGATTAGTCCTTGAAAGAAACAAAACGAAGCAACGGATAGAGTTGGAAACTAAAGACAGAACATGTAGAGAACAATCATCAGAAACAGAACAAGACTGATGATTAGTTCATGTCATGATACTGTATTAAGTCAAGCACCAAGTTTCCTACACCATTTCTTTTCCTTATTATTTACATCATTAGAACTTTGGAAGGAAATTTCGCCCATGACTAAAAGATTTTTAAAAGTCTTTTTCTATGTCTTGTGGTTGACATGGACGCAAGATATGAGTTGCAGATAAGAAATAAGGGAGTGAGTCACTTAATGGACGACAAAAACAAAAGTAAAACTCCCTTGATTGGTCCTTCTTAGCACTCTTTGTTTTTCCATCCTTTGCTTTTATTATAAGAAAAAAAGACGTAGCTTTCATGGTTAGTTGAGAATAGCTATAATTAAAGATAAAAAGGACGGCCTCTCCGTGTGGAAAATGTATGGAAAGTTGGTATAGTCCAGTGCATGCATTTGCAGAATTTCCTTCTGGTTACAAGATAGAGCAAAGAAATTTCAGTGGAGGAAAACTGAAGGAAGCCATATATTCAGGATGGTAAAATCTTTTACATAATAACATTTTAGGTTTTTTAATTTAAATATTAATTAAATGAGATCTTTCTTCCTACTAAATTTAAGATTTAAGTATTTAATGTTTTTTTATATAAATCAATTTAACCTCTCATAGTGCTTGATATTAACTCATATATATATATATCAATCTAGTACGTAATTTTATAAATTCATCTCTAAAAATAAAATCCTACATATTCTATCTATATATAGTTGTCTCGATCCTTATAATATGGTTTCGGTTCGATTTTAAATCTTTATCAAATAATACTATAAATTATTTTTCGAATCAAATTTCATCCATATAAAATTAAGGTTGGTTTGTTTGTGCATGGTAATGGGTATCTACAGTGTGGATCTTAAATATAGGATCAAACATTTTCTTTTGTTTGGTTGGAGATTGCTGCAATTTCCTGGCATTTTCCTATGTTGATGAAACTTCAGGTCAAGTGCTAACTCAGATTAATTGATTGGTAAATAAAAAGTTTACAGATTTTTTTAATGTGAAACCATGAAAGGGAAATCCCAAGGCAGAAGGAAGAAGACAACCTTGACTATGGGTGGGGGCAGGCACGATATTGCTAAGATGATATATGAAATTTGGATAAAGTTTCAATATGAATTGTCGTTAGTCAAATATTTAATTATTATAATATTATTTTTCCCATGTTACAACAACGATCATAAGTTTTAATTTTGTGTCTCATGTGATTATTTTTTTAAATTGAAATAGAATGATTATATAATAATATATGTTTATAATATTTTATAATCATTAATAATGTACATAGGTTACAGATAGGGATGGAAGTATGACATGAACCCGACGGGGAAACCCGAAACCTGATCAAGTTCGGGTCGGGTCGAATGATATCTGGTCGGGTCGGGGATTTTTTTGGGTCGGGTTCGGGGTAAGGTATCCCCGCCCCGCCCCGCCCCGATTATATATATATATATATATATAATATTTTATATTTTTATATTAATTTTATATATAATATTTTATATATTTTATATTAATTATATATATAATATTTTCGGGTTCGGTTCGGGTTCGAGTTTGTGTATAATATTTCGGGTCGGGTTCGGGGACGGGGCAAAAAAATCCCCAACAGGGCCTCCCGATAAAAAACCCATTGGGAATCGGGTCGGGATCGGGGATTCATTTCGGGTTCGGGGACGGGGCGAGCAAAACCCGCCCGGAACCCGACCCGTTGTCATTCCTAGTTACAGATACAATTTAATGTGATCCTACTCAATCACCTATTCTTAGTCATCATTCTTTCATCTTTATTCTTACGAATGAAAGTGGATGGAGCTTTTACTTATCTTACACATTTTTATAAATCATATATTATACTTACGAATGAAAGTGGATGAAGCTTTTACTTATCTTACACATTTTTATAAATCATATATTATACTTACGAATGAAAATGGATGGAACTTTTACTTATCTTACACATTTTTATATGTCATATATTATACATGCTTATATTACTTATATCATTCATGTTATTCCATGCCTTGATATTTATGTCTTGCATATCATACTTTATCATGTCATTAGCATACTTTATAATATGCATCTTATATTGAGATTTATGTTTTTATATTATGCATATTACTTAAGTTACACGATGCATTCTATAATCCACATCTTTATATCTATTTTTATGTTTAGTTATGTCATGCATATTTTATGTTACACATCATTTACCTATGTCACATTGTATTTACCTAGGCGTGCATTATGTATTTTATATGATTCTTAGTTAACTTAATTGTTTTATGCTTGTTTTAGGTGAAAGATTAAAAAATGTAAGCTATAACAGATCATAAATAAAGATTGATAGCTTATTTAGCTTAAAAGGAGCTCAAAGCATATAAAGAGTAGCTGAACCAGTTGAAGAGTAGCTCAGAGATAAATTAAGGAGTTGAAACTAGCTGAAGGGGAGCTGAAGACAAAGTAATTGACCACTAGAATGTGAACCGAGTAGTTGGAGTGACATTAGGCACCTAGCTTGGATATATCTAGCTGCAAGTCACCTAGCTAGCTATCTAAGGCGCCTCTTTTGGTGCCAAACCCAAGCCATGTGCAAGGCACACCCTTGGCCGAACCATCACAAGCCTATTCGGTCTTGGAGAGTTGTGTGCGTTCATCAAATGGCACGTGCGTTCAAATTAGGCGTCTAAACCAACCAACACACCACCATTCAAACATGAGAAGTAATGATCATTCAAAGAACCAACACCATCACTTTTCAGCCATGGAAAGACATTTCCATTCAAATTAGACTATGTACTTTCAAAGGGATTTTTAGACTTGCCCAACCATTACTAATCTATTCGACCATGTCCTTTGGAAAACTATAAGTATGCCAATGCTTTGGCTTTGTAAGACATCTCATTTTGCATCAATTAAATCACTTTGTGAGACATTTTTCTCTTCAAGTTCTTTATTGAATTTTATCGACTTATCAAACCTTGTGCTTGTGGTATCACCCTCATCTATCCCACTTTGATACTTGTGATTTTTGGTTGTTTTATAACCAAATGGTCCAAATCCTTATTACCACCCGGACAAACAACTTATAACACTAGGGGTTATGCTTTAATATAACATTGGTTCTACCTTAGCTATTGCTCATACTATCCATCACCTTCTTCCATTATTTCTATCCATCATCACGCCTATCAACACCATTCAAAAACAGTCCACTTTTTCATCGTTTTATTCTTCCATCTTTTTTGTTTGTCCACCTTGTTAACCTTACATCAAACTACCTATACCTTATTTTTGATTCTATCTTATTTGCAAGTTTGCTTACTTCCTTTTTAGATCCAACAATCAAAGGGACGGCCTTCTTCAACATCCATCAAGGTGTGTCTATCTTACATCACAATTGTATATATAATTATTTTAAATACAATATAAAAGATAATATAAAATAAAAACGAAAAATAACATAATTAAAGAGTTGCTAGAGGAAGCATGCATAAGGCTTCCTAAGAATGAATTTTTTTTCTTTAAGTCCCTTCAAATTTGTAAAATTTTGCGTAAATTTAACAATGAAATTAATTTTTGAAACAAAATACATAGTTTAGTAGGAGTAAGAAGATAATTGAGTACTGAATTGTGTATTTTACCCAAAAAGCGTTAAAGATCAATATTAAAATCGAGTATAATTTAGGGGCTATTTTTCTAACAAAGCCTTGAAAAGTCATTATTTCATTATCTCCTCCCTGTCTTAGGGATTAGGCGAGGCAAAAATATGGAACGCCGACCGTCGGGCGGTTTGACGGCGATGAGGAAGAGAGACGGCGTGAGAGGTGGGACAAGGATACAGTGGCTCGAACATGATATCCTTTGTACCATCTTCTCCTTTCTCGACGTCTTCGACCTCGTTCGTTGTACTGCCGTTTGCAAATCCTGGTACTCCCTCAATTTTATCCTCTTCTTATATATTCAAGGATTTGCCTCATAGTTGCTTCTTTTTTCTGTACTTTTAATTAAGGAATGCAGTCATTAAGAAGTCTGAGATACTGCAAGTATTGTATTTCAAGCTGCGGCGAGATTCTGGTGAGTCTAGTGACAACGGAAATCATTTGAATTAGGTCTCCAGGAAGTAGCCATGAAGTATCATAGTCTATGTTTACAACGAGGTCGCCTCGATATTCATCAATGGAAAGCTCACTCAGTGGGGTAACATTTCATTGCTCTTGTTGAAATGCATGCCTTTTGATACCCAATTTTCTCTACCAAACAATTAACCAAAAGTCGCTACTTATATTGATACAAAAGATAGTTGAAACTGAGGCGTTGAGTGTTTCTAACCTTGCATTCTGTTAGGGTTGACCAGTGCCGGATGAAGATGGGCTTACTTCTCACTGGTGTAGGTGACAAGGTATATTTTTTGTTGCATTAGCCTTTGTATGTCAATTCTCTCCATTTAATCACGCCTGCTTACCTTGCCTTCGTTGATGCATCAAAAGACAAGGCACTATTCGCACCTTTTTCATGTGCACAAGTCCATCCAATATGGGTGCTATCTATTCTACTCATATTTGAAAGCTACTACCAGAAAGATAATTCCCCATGTTTTCTTGAGTCGAATTTTGGGTAATTGACTGTGGATGGTCAGAATTTGATTATATTGGATATACTGGAAGCATATGGTTATGTACATGGAAGATGGTCAGAATTAGATTCCCCAAACCCTAGTTATGCTTGGAAACTCAATCTTGAGTTGAGGAAGGTTTAGTTTTTCATGATAAGGCTGATTCAATGTCAATAAAAAGTTAAATGCTCCTCCAAGTTTTTCATGAATCATGGGTATCTTTAGTTTTATAGTAAGCTTCATCCTTCTTTTGTATGAAAGGTTTTTACTCTACCCTCAAGTCTTCTCATGCTTTTACATGGAACCAGGTGCGCCTTTGGTCTTTGGACAGCTACAAATGCGAGGAAGAATATTACATTCCTGATACAGCCCCGCTAGTTGACTTCGCTTTTGACGAGAGCAAGGTGACTTCATTCTCTTCTTGACAGTTAGTCATTAGCTGCTTAATCTCTCTCCCAGTCTCTAATTCTCCTTGTTTGCTCATCACTAACCTCTCTTTTTCCACAACTGTCCCCTAGATCAGCATGCAAACATCTACTGCTCTATTAAGAATTTAATTCTGGTTACCTTGAAAGTTTTCAGAGGATTCAGTTACATAAATTATTCTGAATAATTTCTTTGCTTCCTTACAGATTGTTGGCTTGCTTGGTACCCGTGTAGGCATATGGAGACGTAATGGAAAAAGAAGTATATTTCCCTCGCATGAAGGAACATTCTCAAAAGGTTTATGTCTGCGGTATGAATAGATGCTTAGTTTATGTTGATTGACAGAATTGTCTGGCAACATATTCTAGTCTAAAAATCCACTCTTAAACCACATTAATAAATTGGTATCAAAGAAAAATTAACAGTTTTCTGCCTTAGGTACATTGATCCAGAGGCTGTCATTGGATGTGAAGATGGAACTGCTCGTGTATTTGACATGTACAGCCGGACATGTTCACGAATTATCAAGTATGCACTCTGCTTTTGTAATGTTATATGTTTCGTTCTCTTTTTCCTCATCTGATGTTAGAAATAATTTGTTTAATGCTGCTTATTGATCTCTCCATTGCAGAATGCATTCGGGCCCTATAACATGCTTAGCTTTGAGTGATGATCAGTTGATTGTCAGCGGGAGCTCTCTTGGTAGTGTTTCAATATCCAGCCTCTCATCTGATCAGCGGGTAGCTACACTGAGGTCAACTGACTCGGCAGGTTATATAATTGAAAACTTATGCACATCTTGCATTTAACACCACTTTTTGAGTTTTTTTTTTTTTGGTATTTTACATCTGAACCTAATTTATTCTTATTCTTACAGGCATAAGGACCCTGTGTTTCAACCCTAGTTCTCATTTAGTGTTTTCTGGGACAACAGTTGGATATACGTACTGTTGGGACCTTAGGTATGTTACTTAAGTGAGAATTTCTTTTGATGCAGGACCATGAATCAGTGGTTAAATTACCTTGCTCTTGAACATGCAGGACTATGAAATCTTTGTGGGGGACACGTATAAGTTCAAATGTTGTGTATTCCTTGAATCACTTGCAGAGTGATAATTCAACGTTAGTTGTTGGTGGAATAGATGGTGTGCTTCGAGTTTTAAATCAGGACACGGGCAAAGTTCTTTCAAGATGTGTCATTGATGATGAGAGGCTGATCAGTTCCTCTAGAAATATGCATGCTTACATCGAGAAAAAGAAAGGAATAAGGATCTCGGATGATGCCGAAATTGACCAGATACCTAGAACTTGTCGACCTCCCATAACATGCTTGGCAGTTGGGATGAAAAAAGTTGTCACTGCACATAATAGCAAGTACATTAGAATGTGGAAATTCAACATGTAACTGTGAGGTTGCTTTTGTCGGCCATAATTGTATCTCTATTATTCCATCAGGATCAAGATAGCCTTCATTATAACCATGCAGTTCCTTTGTGGAATTTGGGTGGATCTTCCACAACTTGTGGAATCAATGAGCATCATGATGTGACCCACCACCAGTCCTATTACAGAAACTACAGCAGCCTCGTTCTCATGGACCATGTCCAATGAATGGCCAAATTCGATTTTGCTTCCCTCAGAAGAGTTTGTTAGACAATTGACCGTTAATGTTATGGCTCCTTAGTCCTTACCATACAATATTGATCTGCTTTTTGGTTTGATGATGAACTTCCTCTTTCTTTACTTTACTATTTTCATAAAGAATTATGTTTGGTCGGTAGTGGAATTTGTATTATTTATTCGTAGCAAGTAACACCATTTCTTCTTAATCAAATGCTCTTCCAAGTTTGTATAAAGTACTTATGTACATGTATTTTTACTTTCTTTCCCCGAGCAAGAGTACATATATCTAAGTTATACTTGTTTTTTTCTTTCACTTCTCTAATCCTACACACATGGCTTTATCAAACATATTCATTGGTTCGATCCTAAACTGTTGAATAGAATTAGGTAGGAGTATTTATGATATATAAGCTGTAGCATTGGAAAGAACTTTTGTAGCACTAGCAGTAGCAGGTGAGAACTATGGGACCAGATATTAATGGGAAACACTAGGAACCTTTCATTGCTAGCCCTCCTTTGAAACGTTCAATCAAACTACATTTGTTTTTTCACAAGAAAAACATATTGACAATGCCATCCTTTTATGCATCCCCAACCCAAAAGAAGAAGAAGAAATGAAACTTTTTAACATTCCACAGCCACAAGAATCCCATTGTCTTGAATCTTTTACTTGATATTGAGTTTCCATATCATATAGTTCTTGGAGATGGTAGCTAATTTGATGAAGCCACTTATTTTGTAATGCTCTCTTTGCTTTGTACCTATGCCATGATACTTCGCACCGAAACTCTTTAATTAATTGAGGAGGCATAAAGGAACTAGACCTAGTAATAAAATTCAGTTAAATAATGGTGGGTGGGATTGGGAAAGTAATAAAATATAATTATGGAAGCACTTTCAACATGGTATCCTAATCGTATTTGCAAAATAATAATGTTATAATTTCATAATCCATCCTTTATATGAATAGTTGTTTTATACTTTTAATGCTTTATTTTAGGTTAAAATATTTTTTAGACAAAACAGTCAGTTTATTAATTATCAATATTTTTTACTTATCAAATAGATTTATATCAACTGAATTATTGATATAATACGACCACGTGTAAATAACTGATTACATGATATAATATTATATTTAAGAAATTAATATGTGAAACCCTCTCCTACCCGCCGCCGCCATCTCGTCTTTCTTCCTTCTTCACCTCCTCGATCGAGCATCTTAGATTACGGGGTTCACCGTCCCGCTTAGTGGAGATCGGCAGAAATACGGAGACGAAAAGGCCATTTGTTTGGTAGGTTTTTCATCCTCATACCCTCCTGTAATTCAATTAAAAAATTCTACTGCACAAAATAAAGAGAGATTAAAGCCCACAAACATTTTCTTGAATAAATTAAAAAGAAAGACGGTGAATTTACCCCCTGAAACGAGAATGCAGTCGATAAGAAGGTTCATGCTGGTATTTACGAAAGGGGGACAATCGTGGTTTTGATTTTGTTTTATCAATAATATCTTGTATTTTTTATTAGTATGAATTAACGTCAGTTAATATACGTTCAAAAATTTTGAATCTAAAATACCTATATATGTACGTATATGATTTTCAAACCCAAAGTCTTAAAATATAATGATAATTTCTTATAATAAAATAAATTAATTCATACAACAATATCTTAATATTTAATTATACAATATATCCTGTCATAATTAACCAAATCTCTAATTTGACTTAATTTCTAAGGGATGAGGATTTCATTACTTTAAAAAAATTTAAATTAATCTGATAATATTATATCATCGTTTAATTTATTTAATAAGTATATACTATTTTACAATCACATTAAATTATTTAAAAATATAAATTAAAATGTTTTAAAAATATTAAATTAAAATAATTATTCAGATAAACAGTTAAAAGTAAATTTTAGCATTACGCTAATAATAATAATATAAAGAGAAAATAATTTCAGTGACTAAAATTACCTTATAATATACGATTTTAACCAATTTTTTTTGGATTTACCAAAATGACCAACTAAATCGCAATGCGATCGATAATTCGTAACGCAATCTAATAATGGTTAAAATCATTTTACATAAAAAATTCGTCTTTAGTCGCCAGCCAGCCATCAAGGCCATTCTGGATTACTTTTACATCATAAGAATAATTGGCCTTATTTGAGTCTCCTCCATCCCACCCCATTGAAACTCACCAATGCCTGCTAAATCTCGGAATTTTCCTACATAATTTCAGTATGTACATGCGTAGGAAGACCCCTACTTTCGTTTCTTTTTTGACTCACCGGCAGCAGCTATCTCGTAAATCGGCGGGGCACACGAGGCGTCGGCATCACCGCATCCCGACCGGTCTTTATCATCTCCAGTCGTTCCTTTATTGTTTTATCGAACAACCGGTTCTCGGGATTTTCGGCATAGCAGACATAGTAACAGCTCACACATGCATGCGGCAATGCCATGGCGATCCTCGTCTGTCAATGCCAATTTTATAATGCATTTTGAATTAGATCGATCATGGAGCTGAGTCACATAACATATATAAAATCCAAGTTGATCACACAGTCACGTTTTCTTCATTAAAATAAATAAATAAATAGGAATAGTCCAATACAAGAGGCTAACCATGAGGTATCCAATGAAGAAGGCCAGCAGGGAGATGGTAGCTGTGAAGGGTTGGTGGACTGTTGCAGTCCAAGCAGCCACAACAATAACACAAATGGAACCACTGCAAACGCCAGTGAGGAAGCAAATCGCGCTGGTCATGTCGGAATCAACGATGGGTACCATTTCTTCCCTCTCGAAAAGTGCCCAAGTATCTTGCGATGCTCTAACGAAACCTTTTCCATAGGCAGCTATCTGCAGGAACAGGATCACTTAAAAAATAAAAACATATAGTTTAATCCTTATTCATGGACCACAAGCAAAACATTAACTACCTGAACATATGCCCACCCATTTCCATATCTGAAGATGGACTGCATAACATTGAGGCAGCAATGAGCACAAGAGAACATAAATTCATCTTCTCCTTCAAGCAAATTCAAGCCTCTGGCCACAATTCTCAAGGCTTCGATTGCCGGCACGAATAAAGAACCGAGACAAGCACTTCCGAGATTCCGGGACAATGCTCTTTGGAAGCAGAACTGAGTGTTGGACTGCATTCCTCTTAGATAATACAGAGTAATCACTCTGCTAACTGTCAAATTAACTACATTCCTCATCACTTCAGTTGTCCAAGCCAAGCTCAACACCAGTGCAATTATAACCAATGGAGGGTAGTAGAAATTCAAGGCTCCAATCACAGCCAAGATCCATAGGGACATCCACAAGAATCCAGCCCCAAGCATCCAATAAGCAGGTCGGTTCAAGTCGGGGAATTTGTCGACCGGTTCTAGTGCTTTGAGCAACACCTTGAAACAAAATCCGACTCGTTGAGAGACCCAACACGCATACAAGCCATTTCCGATCGCAAATGCGATGAAGCAGACTCCAACGCCGTCCGTGGCAGGCTTTTGGAAGCAAATCAGAAGGATCCCGGCAGATAAAGACATGAAGAAAGTGCACCATATGATGAAGTAAACCATGATCCCGGGCCACTCCCGCAAAGCCTTTTGCCAAGAAAATGCGAGAGTGATGCTCAAAAGAGATGCGGCTTCAACTTGTGGCAAGAAATATTTAAGTACCCTCTCCTCTTTTCGTTTAGCAGCGTTCGATGCATCGATTAGCCCTTGAATTCCCTTGAATATAAGAAACCCAACAAGAGCGATAGCCGCAACCTTGTGCACCAAGTATAATAATAGGGTTATTTTGTTGGTGAATCTTCTTGAGTTGAGTGTTGTCACTGATTGCTGGCACAAGGGAGGAAAAACCAAGAAAATTCATGTTAATCGAGGAAATTTTCCTGCAGAAATTTTAAGAAATTCTTACTACAGAAGTTGAAATCTGTTGTCTTTCTCATCTTTTTGTTGTTGAAATTCTTACTTGTGGGGTTGGTGTAGAACGAGGGTGAGAACGAGGAGGAAGAGGAGTCTGAAACCGAGAAGACTGGGAAGGAGGAGGAGTAGCCACTCTGGTACCGCCATTAATGACAATCCTTAAAGGGTTTGTTGGGTTCAATGTTGCAACATTGAAATATGAAAATGGTCTCTTTGATCTTCATTTCTCTCTAAACTCTTGTCTTCAACAAAAATTTCCACTTGTCCCTTCTCCAAGTCCACTTTCTCTTTCTCCTCCTCCTCCACTCCTTTTCCATCTTGTTTCTCCCCTCTCCTTTCTTCTTCACCTTCCTCTTCCACCACCACCTGCATCAAAACAGCAGCCGCTAAAAAAACTTCAAAATAAAATTATTAAGCAAACCGGGACGGCCATCAGGAGAAAACAACAGTTTTACATGCTCGGTGGCACCCATGGCGGCGTTGGATTTTTGTTGGTATGATATACACGTAACGTTTGGTTGGTGATGGCTTTTCTTTTGTATTTCTGGGTTAATGATGTCGTCGTGAATGTTTTACTTTACTGCCTCTTCGCCCATTGTTGTAATTTGCACATGCTTCAACTGAGTCGTGCCCCACTGTCCCTCCTGGTTTTTGTTTAAAAATGGCCGACCCTCTATTCTAGACGTGGGTTGCACCCGATGTTAGTTTGACCGTTGTAATTTTTTGACTCAATTCCTGATTATTAGTATATATATAGAGAAGTGGCAACAAGATTGGAAGAAACGTGGGTGTCCGTGTCAAGTTCACAGAGCGTGCAAGAAACATCTGATAGCAGATAAGATAATTCCTTCCCCGGATACTTGTTACCGATCGGAATATGAAGAAGAAATTGTCATTTGCTTTTACATTTCCGAGTCAAATTAATTGCTATGTTGGGTTGTTTTTTTCATAATAACGTTCTGGTCAATAAATAAATAGTGCGGGATGTTTGTGGACCATCCATCAGGAACCGAGTCCTCCAGCAGCAGGAGGTAGGTTCACTGGCATTCAATTTCACATGCTAAAAAGGGATTTCAGGGTACATGTTATTGTTTTTAAATCTGGCAACATTATTTTGTTTAACTTTAAATATTCAAGTAATCCAATAACAAAAGATACTGCTGTTTTCTCTCAATAATCCAAATTCAAATAACGTAGTTTATATATATATACACGTAAATTTAACTAAATCTGAGTATTCTAATTTTTTTTCAAATGTTAGCTAAATTATTAAAAATTAATTATCAAAATGGCATCCAACAAAATTTACTTCTTATAATGGTATCTATTTCTGCTGCATAAGATCAAGATGTGCTTATGTGACAATACATTTTAAAAGGTTATTCATTAGAAAAGTGCATTTGTTTACGTAGCAGGTTACGTGAGTTGTTTCTTAACACTGAGGGGATTTAAGATTAAAATGAAGAAAAAAAATTAATGTTATAATTGAATATAAAACTAAAATTAATATTATAATTAATAAAATTAGTTCAACAGTGAATCAATGAATAAAGTTCGGTAATATATGGAGTAAGTTATACTGTTTGTTTCCTGATCAAGTTGTTTATATTCTGATAATTTAGGTGTCCCACCGCTACTCTGGAGGTGGGGCAGCAAGGTCCAATCTATAGAGAGAATATATGGTGCTGCAGGTTTTGTTAGTTAATCTGGTGAAACTGCAGAGACTCTGCTTGCATGGATCATGCCCTTGAAATCGGCGCCATTAGACAAGAGGTTAAAAGAGAAAGAAAGAACCTTGGAAACAACCCTCCAATGAGAAAACTCATTAAATTCCAAGCAAAACAAAATTTAATATTCACTCAAAAAATGAACGACACAAAAATAACATTATGCTTTCACTCATTCCCTCGACCTCTGAACTCCAACCCACCGTGCGTAGTCCACCCACCTGTTCATATAACATAAGCACTCGTCAGATATGCTCTCAACCAAACACCAAAATATTTGTGTTTTTAAGGCTTAAAACTGGTGTCGTGACTTACATCAAAGATCCCAAGAAAGTGTTTCCGGTACGAACGGCGAAGCAGAGTGCACTCAGAATGAGCTTGTGATGGTGCAGCCAGGGCTCCAGTATTCGTTGTTCAATAACTCCCGCAATTATTTGGTACCTTTTTTTATTTATCAAAGTAAGCCCTTTTCATCATCGTTTATTCGATCAAATGTAATGTAGTACTCATGGTAAAGCTGGTGATGATTTACCTTAGGTTGCTGGACACCGACATGTAGACACCGTACTGGAAACTTGTTGAAAATACAGGCACGTCTTCTGCTTCTTCGGCAAACGATTTGTCGAACAACTTTCGTGCATTAATCAACGTATTTGTCACCCCTACACCAACCTGAAAGAAGAATGATAAAGTAATAACTATTCAGAATCTTTTTTAATCATTAACAACAACACACCCTCTACACGTAACTATTCTAAGCCAAATCTTCTAGAAAACAACATTCCCTCTCACAGCCGAGCACATTCAATAGGCTCATAAGATTGATATAGTGTTAATAGGATCAACTAGTTGTATAAGAAGTTCACTTGTAAATATTCGATTTTTTAAGTTTTGTTTTAGAAACATTGTATCTATGTCCATGACACAAAGCATGCATGATAATATAGAATGGATTTAGGGTTATACACTAACCAGGGATGCACCGGTTCCAACAAGAAAGAGTTTGGCCCCGTTACGCTGCATGGAAGATAATGATAATGAGTTTTCAAACCATGTAGAAATTAATAAATTAGTGGTGTTGGTCCAGGGTGAAGTTTGTAAAATATATACCACAATCGCACCAAATCTCTGTAACAATGAATAAGATGTTCCCGCCAAAGCCACCTGCATTCAGGATTCTCAAGATAAGGTAAGCGAATATGTGTGGCTTACATAAAGCTTAGATACATGTGACGACGAATAAAGTCATTAAACCTGGAAGGCATTATCGGGACAATTGTAAAAGAACTTAGATATAGGCCCGGCACTGAGTGCTATAGGTGGCCGGAGAGAAACTGTCGGAGCCGGAAGCCACACGAGCATGAAATCTGCAACTAGCGCCATTACCTGAAAAATACTCGGTTCATTATTGTTATTAACGTATATTCAAAACAAAAACTTGTTTTTTTTTCTTTTCATTTTCATAAAGTCATATATACCACGTCTGAGAAAACAAAATCCAGCTCTTTCGTTATCCTTTCTCTTCTCTTCTCTAACTCTGCAGCACACTGAGGGAAGAAAAAAGTAGGCAAACAGTGTGTACCAGTGAGTTTCGACCAATGAGAGAAAATCCCAGAAAGTGTCAAAATCAAAATCATGGATAGTTTGGCTGAGAATTTTTGGAATCATTTTGGAAGAAGAAAAGCGTAACCTTGGTGAAAATGCCCACGCCGCACTCGATGCCAACTTTAGTCAAAAACAAATCATCGGCAAGCATCCGCTCCTTAAACCCTCCAAAATTAAGCAACCAGCTGAATACAGGGGACTTCTCGAACTCAAAGTACCTACGAACAATCGATCCCGGTAACTTCCCCGCCTCGATTGCCGCCGCTATGTCCTTGGGCAAACTCTCAAATGTTCTCCCTTCCTGTATACATACACACACACGACAATTCGCATGTAAAAAAGAAACAAAAGCGTGTATAAAACAGTGTATATAGATGTTTAATTGGCTATAGACCTCAGCGAGAGCCAGGATCGCTTCGGATCGGTTTCGTGACCGGTCCTGATCGTCGTGACCGTCATGTCCTCCTCCGCCACCTCCACTTCCAGTACCGCCTGTTCCACCAGTATCTCCATTTCCCGAGGAGAAAACTACGGTGGCGGGGTGGAATTTATTGCGGGGATTGGCGGAGACAGTCAATACAAGAGAGTGAGTGAAGAGGCTGGTAATGCTGGCGGTGCTTTTGCGGCAGGAAGTGAAGGCGGAGCTCTGCTGTCTGTGGTGGTGAGCGTGGGAGTGTGAGGGTGATTGGAGAAAGAAGGAGCGCGTGGAGAAGGTAACGGTTGCCATTTCAAAGAAAGAGAGTGTTTGTGGGAACAGAGACTGAAGAGAAAAGGAGGGTTTTATGTATTTGCTGCCTCTGGCCTTAGAGAGACCAGAGAGGGCAAAGAGAGTGCAAATGGAAGTTGAAGGGTTGCTTTTTCATCATCTGAGTGGAGATAAAATAATGCAATGCAACTCTCAACGGTTGAAGTGGCGGTTGACGACTTTATATATATATTTTAATTTATTTTTAAGAAAAATTCGGATTTGAACTACTGTACCGGTAAAATATATTAAAATTAATCTTAAAAATCACCATGTATCTTGACAACATAATTTGATAGAATTTAATTACTTTTTTAAAAAAATAGATATTAAAATTAAAATTTTAGAAAAATACAATTTTAATTTTACAAAAAAAATAAGGATTAAACATAAAACTTTTATTTTTTTAAAAAAAAGAGGCCTCGTTAAAAAAAAATAAAAATGTAATAAGAAGTTTTTAAAAAAAATTGAATTAAAATTTGGTTATATTCAGCTTTGGAACAACGATGATGATTGATAATGATTGTTACATTGATAGAAAACTAGATTCTAAGGTACTTAGAAGTAAAAGAAAGAAAGAATAACCCACATTTAACCTTAAGAAGTGTAGTCCATGATGAAATAAAATCTATTTCTATTTATGTAATATATTTGATAAAATATATTTCTATTTATCAAATATACATTTAACCTTAAGAATAACCCGCATTTAATTGATAAAATATATTTCTATTTATGTAATATATTTGATATCATTTTAAGAATTATTCAAAATTTAATGTTAATTAAAAACGGGTGTATTTGGATAGAAAACCCTCATTTCCATCCTTGTGGTTGTACCAATCGAAACCTTGGAGGTTGCTCCAATAAAGACTTTAGAGTGATTGGTGTGGGCTTGACCGTTTGCAAAAGGTCACGAGGTTTTTGGGCCCACCCGACCAAGACTCGCTGCCCTCTTTCAACCATAAACTTTAACTTAAAATCGACGGCTCTTTTTGATTTGTGATCCACAACACTTTACCATTGCTCACAAATATTTCATTCGGTCCATTAAAATCAATTGAAAACTACTCGCCTTGGTCACCGATGCTGCCACTTACCGATTATACTATGGTAGTTACTCTTCTTCTTTATATATATCAACTATTAAATTTAATTATATTTTATAGTATTTAATTTTAATTGATATTGAATCTTGAATTTAGTCCCACAAAAAATACCTAACCAATTCAAGACATAATTTAGGGTATAATTTCTCCTTCCTTTTAGTTTTAAGAAATACTTTCAGTCATACAATTTATCTTTTTCAAATCATCTTGTATTTCTTCAGAATTCGATCAAATCTGTCCATAATTATGGATATCGTCGATTCCTTTTCTTCAAACTATTAGTTATAAGTTAATTTTAGGTGTCTATATTTTTTTTCATTAAAAATAGCCGCTTAATGTTTTCTCCGTTACACTTTTATGTGTTTAATATTTTTTTTTCTGTTACACTTTTAGGTGCTTACATAGTAACAACCGTTAAATGACATATGTCATATTTATATTTTGATATAATACAAAAATAAGGGGTTAAATTATACTCTAAGTTAACTATAGGTGCATAAAGAATATTTTGTTAAAAATAGGTGTATAATATTTTTAACGTTATACTTTTAGGTATTTATATAGTAATAACCGTTAAAAAAGCCCGTTAAGTGACACATGTCATATTTATATATATTTTAAAAATTAATAATATTATTAATTTTTAAAAATAAAATTTTTAAAAATTACAAAAAAAGCCTACAACTTTAAAATCTTTCATTTTAACCTCATTATTAACTGTTGTCAACCATCATCGACAGCCTTCATCATTGTTGGATGGTCACTCACCCATTGTTGGACCTTCACTGTCGATCATCTCTATTGTTGTCACTCTAAGAATTTATGGAGACAATGGAGGGGATTCTGAATACAACTAGGAAAGGAAAAATTTTGCGCATGAGAGGAGGTTGCGCAAACGGGAGGGAAGATTTTTTGTTCTAAAATATGTTTTTTTAAATAATATTTTATTTGTTTAAAAAAAATTAATAAATATATATAAATACAACACAGGTCAGATAACGATCAAATTTAATGGTTGTTACAACCTATGCACATAAAAGTGTAACGTTGAAAACGTTAGACATTCATTCTTAGCAAAAAAATTATTTAGGCACCTAAAGTTAACTTATGATATAGTTTGGACACTTATTTTTTTACATTAAGCCAAAATATAAAAATAATACGTGTCACTTAATGGTATTTTTTAATAATCATTATTATGTATGCATCTAAAAGTATGAAGAAGAAAACGATAGGCACCTAAAAATGACATAGAGAACATTAGACACTTATTTTTAACGAAAAAAATTTTTAGGTACCCAAAATTAACTTGTAGTATAGTTTGAACACTTATTTTTACATTAAACCTATTAAAAATATATACTATGTTTTTAATAAAACAATATTTATTGACAAAAACACCTTTATATATATATATATATGTGTGTGTGAGAGAGAGAGAGAGATAATAGATAAGAATTCTTGAGGACAAAAAATAATATACTACTAATTGTCTATCCCTAAAATATCTACTCATCTCTTAATAAAACTATTGATCGTTTTCTAAAGGAGTACACTTCAAATAATTTAATTATTAGTTTATCACAAAAATTATTTTAAAAAATACAATTCAGATACTTAATTAAAATATTGTTACAAATATGGTACAATGTAGTTAAAATTAAAATATATGTTTAACGTAACTTGTTATAGTGATAATTTTAATCTCAAAACTTATATATTTTATCAATTTGATTATAATTCAATAAAATTAATCGTTTATATTTAAAAATTTTTATCAATTTTAATATTTTTTACGACATTATCAAATCAAGTGAGTTCGTATGATCAAAGCAGTAGTTGAATAACTGTCTTTTATCATCAAATAGTAACAAATTATTGTTAAATTGTTATTACATCAGTAGAGTAATTTAACATTTTTGGAAGAAGAATAAGTAATTTAAGAGAATAAAAAAAATTAAACTGATAGAATTTTTAAATATGAAAGATTAATTTTTTTTAATTATTTTGAATTAGAATCAATTTGATAAAATATATAAGTTTTGTGAAACTAAATTACCATTATACTAAATATTATCATTATTTTATCTAATATTTAATGATTAGTGACATTTTATAATATTATTTTAATTGAGTGACGAAATTATATATATATTTTTAAAATTCATTTGCGACTGAATTTATAATTGAGTGAGATGAGAAGTGTATTTTACCCAAAAAGAGAGGGGGGGGGGGAAGAACCATTCCGTTGTTACGGTGTAGAATCGACTGCACCATAAAAACATCTCTTATCCTCTCCACTTCCGTAATGGATTGATAAAATAGCCCAAAACAACACTGACAAAGAAGCACTTACAGACACAGAGCCAACTCCAATCTATGGCTACTTGCATCGCACCTTCCTCCTCGCTTATGCTAACGTACGCCGCCTCCAACGTACATCCCCAGGACCTCACTCGTTCGGTTCTTTCCTTCAAGTCCAACAACCCCGCCTTTTCTCTCAAGACTTCCATAGACAGAAATTCCAGCATCGGATGGACTGGTCTGTGTGCCCGGATAGGCTCCAAGAATTTCATGGTGGCTGCCGTGGCTACGGTGGCCGCCGTGGCTACGGAGGCCGCAGTGGCTGAGGCCGCGGAGGAAGCGGCTGACAGTGGCTCTGCTACTGCTACTCTTACTGCCCCGTCCAAGCCCAAGAAAGGGAAGGCCGCGTTGCCTCTTAAGAGAGACAGAGTATGTGGTGGTTGAAATTTTTGTCTGCTGCGGTTTTGTTTATCAAGTGTTTGGTGTATGCTAGATAATTTTGTGTCTGGGTTTTTGCTTAGCTTAGAGAAAACAGTGTTTGTTGCCTGATAGTTTTGGCTTTTGAGGGTCAGATTTCAAAAGGAAAGAGGACTCAATTTCCCTTACTTTTCTTAATTAAATAATCTATCCAAATAAAGGACTTTCATCTCCCCATTCAAATCCATTAGTCTCTGAGTTTCTGATGCGGTAAAGGGTTTTACAACCGAATTTAAGTTGAAGAAATTTGATATATGGAACCATTGTCTATCTGAAATGGTTACACTCTTTCAGTTTTGTTAAATATGCACTTCATACATATGACTGTGGTGTTTACTTGGATTCAGTTATTTAATTCCAGTTATTTTCCCTGCTCAAACTGCAGACGAGATCCAAGAGATTCTTGGAAATTCAAAAATTAAGGGAAAACAGACAGGAATATGATCTAAAGACAGCAATCTCTTTTCTAAAGGAAATGTCAAGTACAAAGTTTGTAGAGACAGCTGAAGCTCATTTCCGCCTTAACATCGATCCCAAGTATAATGATCAACAGCTGAGAGCAACAGTAAGTTTTCCGTGCTTTGTATGATAATATAGTCATAGCCATGATCTGCCCGACCTTTGGTATTTCGCCTAATACCCCTACCACTTTTTATTTGGATTCTTTATCTTATAGGTGAATTTGCCTAAGGGAACAGGTCAAAAGGTCAAGGTTGCTGTTCTTACCCAAGGTAGTTACTCCGTTTTGTTGCTTGTTAATCGTTTTTGCCTAAACTTGTTTTCTTTTTCATTTTTACTGGAATTTTCTTTTATGTCTAGAAACTCTTGCATAAAATTTAGAGAAAGCTATTGGATAAACGTGTGGGAGTATTGTGGGCGTACTGGACAATATTCTCAGGAATAAGTTGTTGTATACTGTATCCTCAAGATTTGCAAGTTTATCTATTCGAAGAATAGGGGCAGGAACAAAAAGAACACTCTAAGAAAAATACTCAACAGAATGGAAGAGAGAATGATAGAAGATATGTGTATTTTGGTGTATAAAACAATGTTTTCAGGCGAGGTATTTATAGAATATTGAACAAAGGTTAGGGTAGAAAAACAAGAGAGATTGAGAGGAGAGATGCGTTTTTTGAGTTATAAAACAATGTTGTCAATCTTGATATCTATAGATTTTTTAGAAAAGTTTAAGAAGGTTTGGCTAGAAAAATAAGAAGATGATAGGCGATATGCGTTTTTGGTCTTTAAAACAATGTTCTTTTAGATTATAAATCAGAATTAGAAAAAGTAAGACATAATTTACTTAATAATTAGAGACTTTAAAATAATTCATCATGTAAATTAAAATTCTCATTAATCATATATGCCCACAATATTGTCATTCAAGTTGTGCGCTAGTAGGCCATAAGCTAGCTTGATTTTTCGTAAGTGCTTAGAGATTATGTCAAACATCACATAGAAGCGGTCTCACTCCACACATATATAGATCAATTCAGCAAGTGTACACTGCAAATTGATACACTACCATATGAATCCAATTCATAGTATCATTAATCACATAGGTTGGTTACCATCATCGTTGATATCTCAATTTGATAGTAGTTTCATTTCCTTTGATGTGTCATAATTTTCTCTAAAGGTTTAGTTAGTGAATTTGGCCAAAATCACTTCCGACCTCACATAATCCATGAATATGATGCCATCGCTTTGTAGCTGTTTGATCACATCATGTCTCAGATAAATGTATCTATTTTTACCACTGAAAGTTATATTCTTTGCAATGACTATTTTCGATTGGCATTCAAAATGCATGGACACATAATGTATCCAATGATATATTTTGCTAAGAAGTTTTTCAATCACCCAGTTTCATTATCAGCCAACTCTAAAACAATTAATTCTAACTTCATAGCAATTTTAGCTATTAGAGTAAGTTTGACTAATTTCCTAAGTATGTACCACGCTAAGGGTGAACACATAACCGCTTAGGGGGCGTTTGATTAATCGAATCCTAGCTTACACTGTTACACATGATAAATAATTCAACTCACATAAGCATAAAAAATTCTCACCATACTTGCAATTTAATTCAAGTTTAACAATTAGATCAAATAATTAAATAAGACCCAAGTTAAATTCAGTATTCAATTTAGCCATCTTAATTCTAAGTTCAACTAATATAATATAGTCTTAGTCTTAAATTTAACTTTGGCCCAAATCCATGTTAAAAGTAAAGGTAACATTAATTCCATTACATAAATTAATATTGCAATCCAAGGGTAAAATCCAATTTAAATAAAAAAATCTTGTAATCATACTGAATTCGATCCAATAAATATTTTTATATATGCCTCTATTTGTGTTGTCTTTCACAAGTTAGCAACATGTGAAGTTTAAAAAGCGGGTGAACAAGGACAACAATGATCAACGGATAGTGTAGACAACATCCAAGAATGAAGTTATCCTTAAGATTGTTGGATTTGAGCTATAAAAACATGAGGTGTGTAGTGTATCCACTGGGATTCAATAAGCTCATATATTCTCTGAGTTTGTTTGATCCTAGCTATAAAGCTTGACATGTATTGCTCATGGTCAAATAAGCTTATCTATTCGAAGAACTAGACAAAATATGAAACTAGGAAGTAGGAACAACCGAAGAATACTCTAAGAAAAGTATCTTACAAGTAAAAAGACTTGTCTGTTTATAGAACAAGGACAGGCATACTGAACTTTTAGGTGAAAAAGCAGGGGACAAATCCATCGTACATTTGAAAGTTCTTTTAAATTTAATGCAGTGAGTGTTATGATTTATAAATAACAGGCTAAAGGTTTAGCTAGAAGATGTGGGGTAAGATCTCTTGAAATATCTCAAATATTTCCAACAAGGAAATGTAGTTGTTAGAGTTTGTGACCTGAATTCCATTTGATTCAGCCCGAAAAGTTTGCGCTGCTTTGCGATCGTTTACTTGCCGTTATCGGTAACAAGAGCTAAATAATGTAGGGTTCATGTCACAAGATTGAGTAGGTTCTGAACTACTAAATATAAAATTTTGTTGGTTGCAAGTGATCATTTGAGAATGATGTACTCTAGGCGGTTGATAGTAGTTAAAGATCTTAAAATTGAATTCTATTAGGATAAAGTTTTCTTTTCTGAGGCTTAGCAACACAAGATAATTGCTTTTCTGTAATATCTTTGCAGGTGAAAAGTTTGATGAAGCAAAAAATGCTGGAGCGGATATTGTTGGTGGTGAGGACTTGATTGAACAAATAAAAGGAGGATTCATGGACTTCGACAAATTAATTGCTTCCCCAGATATGATGGTTAAGGTGCTGCTTTACTGCTATTATTTCAATTAATGAGATATTGCTTTTGGTTCGAAACGGCAATAATTTTTTCACTATGAGTTTTATTTTAAAATCTTCCTACTTCTAAATCAGGTTGCAAGCCTTGGAAAGATTCTAGGACCTCGAGGGCTCATGCCAAATCCGAAAGCTGGTACCGTTACCCCAAATATACCTCAGGTAGGATCTGATTGTCAATGTTTTGATGAGATCTTGTTGATCATTTTAGTTTTAATGATTTTGCAACCGAATGATGCGTGGTAGTTAGCAAAGGTGATATTAGCCAAAATGTTTATTGAATCATTTTCTTTTGCAGGCTATTGAAGAATTCAAAAAGGGTAAAGTTGAATACAGAGCTGATAAAACCGGAATCGTTCACATACCGTTCGGCAAAGTAGACTTCTCTGAAGACGACCTCCTCTTGAATTTTCTTGCAGCAGTTGTATGTCAAATCCTGTTCCTTTATGCTTGTCTAACCTTCTTACTCTCTCTCTTTCGAACACAATTTATGATATGAAAACCGGAATTGAACTCTGATATTTATTTGGTTTTGTTCTTAATTCAACAGAAATCGATCGAAACAAACAAACCAAAAGGAGCCAAAGGAGTATACTGGAAAAGTGTACATATATGCACATCAATGGGTCCTTCGATCAAGCTAAATATAAGGGAGATGCTTGATTACAAGCCTCCGTCAAACATTTGAAGAACAATGATTACTAACAGTTGAATGTCTTCAACCCTTTAATTACCTATGTGAGCATTCAATGTCTGGAACATGCAGTGCTCAATGGGATTTGGCTTAGGGAGTAAGATAGAGAGGGAATATTAATTAGGATGGAATCCTAGTGAAATTGTGTATGTGAATTACCATATTACCTTTCTGTATACAGACTGGGACCTGTATCATCATCATATGAGTATTAGCATCAATTTTATTTATTGTTATTCTTATTTTTGAGATTGAATTTTGATGCAGTCTCAAACTCAAACATGATTTTAGAAATCAAGTGAGGTTTTCAATGGGATTCACCACTAAAATCATGAGGTCTGATTTTTAAAAACATATATATTTTAATCTTATTATAAGGTATTTAAACTTATTTCATCAAATCCAAGTAAGATTTTCAAGAATCTGAATGAAAAGATGAACAAAAGCAGAGAAATATGCATTTAAAATAGTGATAAACATTTGCAAATGTGGATATATGGACTTATTATTTCTCTTGAGATCATTAAATATAGATGACATGTTATAAAATTTGAGCACTCACATTGTGGCATAATTTGTGGGTGATTTAGGCCCCAAGACATGTTGGAGAGGTAAGGGGATGATAATCCATCCATGGGACACAGTTTAGTATCATAGTACACTTTGATACTTGATAGGGGCATATTTGATTCTTTGAGTCTATTATGAGATGTTATAAGGAGATCCATGTATAAGATGATTCTATGTTTTATATTGAATAGAAGAGTTTCTTTCAGCTTGTTTCTTGGGCCTGTACACACATTTAATAAAAAAATTAGTATTTTGTTTAAGTTCCATCCTCATATATATATATATATATATATATATATATATATATTATTGACCACCGATACATATATACTCATATATAACATCTATTTATATGCTTACAGACGCAAGCAACCATACCATAATATATATATATATATTTATGTTTATAATATGTAAAGCCGTCATAATATATACAAGTCATAATATATATATATATATATATATATATATATATATATATCAAACCCACGCGTAACCAAATATAGTAATTACTAATAATATAACATATATAAATATAACTAATAATAATATAGATCATAACTATAGTAAATAAAAACTAATAATTAGCGCATATATATATTCACACAAAACTAATAAAGTCTGGCACTCTTTTTCTCCTTCCGCTAGTTGATTCTTACCATATGGTAAAAGACCTCTAAGAGGGAAGATTTTAATGAGGCCATCTATTCCTATAAAAAAAAATAATGCTTCCCATATATAATTAAATAACCAACCCAACAAAACTCTTATATTTGAACTAATTAATAATATATATATATATAAACACAAAAGAAACTCGAATGAAGCCCCCAAAGAAAATGAGCATCTACACGATCTTTTTGTATCCATTTAGTATTTTTAAACATGATCAATAAACACATTCACAAACACTAAACAAATATAATTGTAAACATCAAATAAATGAATACATATAATTTTAATTTTTTTATCAAACAAGAAAATTCTTAAAAATAAACAAACAGATAAAATTTGTGTTCATTCAAACTCCATTCTTCCACATAACTAATGGAACATGAACAAATTGGAAAGTAGTTTTGATGCAGGAGAATACGTTTTCCCTACTTCAAGTTGGAAGTTGTTTGACCCTAAACAAAGGCAGATTTGGTCTACTATCGTACTGGCTCTCTATTTAAATATATAAAATTAGCATTACACTTCTAAAAAAGGATACTACATGAGTTGAAATGTCTAGTATACCTAGTATAAAATATACACCAAGCAATCCTGAAAACAATGAAGTGCAATGTCGCACAAAGAAGTTTCTACCTATCAATCTGGGCTGATTCTGAAGTTCCTGGTTCATTGCAGTTGCACATATCTAGACTGATCGTATAAGATAATTGATATTTCAACCGTGTTGCAATATGAATTTTAGACTCCATTGATTTGTAGCCTTCTACCCCATCCACAACTTCAACACCCTATCCTTACCACCAGATGCAACTTTCTCACCGTCTGGACTCCAATCAACGGCAAAAACCTGTTCAAATGAAGATGACAATCAGTCTTCGGTACATCAGCAAATCAATGTTAATGGTTCTTTTGCTTTGCTATAACTAGTAGAAATGGAGAGCTTACCTCATCTGCATGGCCTGGGAGGTCTTGTTTCAACTTTTTTGTTCGGATATCCCAAACCTTGTAACAAGAATAACAAGCTTGTTAAAAAAAAACATTAGCTTTCCATCCAAGGCCTTAATTAAATAATCAGGACTTTCAGGGTAGGACTGAAGATTGGGGTTGGCCGCGTAGGAGTGAGGAAATCTAAGGGACAGTAAGGCAGGAAGGACATATATGTAGCAGAGGCTGAACAAGAATAGGATAATGATACTAACAATGAGGCCATGGCAGAACAATAACACTAACTCAACTGGGTCAGAAAGTACAAATAAAATCTAACTTTAGTTTGGTTCATTTCTACACTACACCGAAACTAGAGCATGTGAGTATGTCTATTAAAGAATGCTCAATGATCGATCACAACAATTTTTTAGGATCTTTGAATGCCGAAAAGGGGAGGGGGGTATAAAAAGTTCTTGGGTCTTACCTTCAAGGTGGAGTCTTTACTTCCACTTAAAAGAAGCCTACTATCTGCAGACCAGCTGAAGGCAACATGCAAGATACTCATTAATCCTGGGAAACAAAAGAAAAGAGACATGGAAATAAACTATAGAAACAGCTCAAACCTGATTTGATAAACAGGCCCAACATGACCTCGGAATGAAGCAACAAATTCTCCAGTAGTACCATTCCATAGCTTGACTGACTTATCAAATGATGCACTGGCCACCCATAGCCCATCAGGTGAGAAATAAACATGGTTTACAAGCTGCAAATAACCAACAAAACGTACGAACTTACTCCTAAGTATGAAGAAATCAACAATTTGGATCACAACCAGAGTGAGTTAGCAGCAGTATATGTTTTACCTGTTGATGACCAGTCATGCGGATTTTGTGATGTTTGCTGACAGCAGGTTCCCATAGGAACATGGTAAAATCATCAGATCCTGATACCAATCTCTCAGGGGCATTGCCTTTCATTTTGTTGTACCTTTCTAGAGCAACCTAAATTATATAAGGAAATCTAATTACTTTTCTACAGAAGAGAAGGAGAATAGGAAGCTTGAATATATCAAGGGAAAAGAAGAAAAAATAGTTGTTGTAAAGAGAGAAGTATATATACAGTAGAATTACAAAGATGAGTTTTATTGGTACAAGAATTTTTTACACCAAATAAGTAACATTTACCTTCTTCATTTCTGCAGATGAGTATTGTTTACCAGTATGGTCAAACGCTCCAGTGCGGAGAACATATTCTGTGCTCAAAGCAAGGGAATTAACCCAATGCCCATGGCCCTAAAACAAGTAGCACAAGCAAATGAATGTATGTAATATAAAAATTCAGAGCATATACAGAAACAATTAATGCATAGACATGCAAAAGAGCAGTTTAATGCATACATACGACAGAAATATTCTAGAAAATGCAAGAAATCACCTTCAATTCACGAATTAGCTTCCCTTGTGAAGTTTCCCATACTTTAATAGTACAATCCTGGGATCTTCAGCCAGTTTGACAAATGGAGCTCATTAGTACTAACCAGTTAAGAGTTTAAACAAAGGCTTCTAATTGACGAGATGACTAGATGAGTACAAAGTGTTTATTTCTCTGTCATTTCCAAGGAAAACTGAGATTCTACTTTCATAGAAGAGAGTGAAATGCCAATAAAAAATCTGATCAGAATCACAGAAACAGAACAAAATTGTACCCTGTATATATGACTCCATCTCCACCCCATTTCACACAAGTTATGGCAAGTGTGTGGCCACTTAGACAAATGACACATTTCTTTAAGGAAACATCCCATATGCGGGCATCACCATCTTTGCTAGCACTTACAAAGCGACGGCATGGAGCATTTAGATGGACAGGTTCCCATGAGATACCGGTGATCCATTTCTTGTGCCCCTATAGCAGAATCCAAGAAATCAGCACCATGTTTTATATGAATAAGACAATCAACTAAACAGAAAGAAAGTATTCCATTGCCTTTTTACAAAATTCATGAGACAGTTTCAGTTTAAAGAGGGCAATAATCTATACAGAATTATTAAAAAGATAATGTACAATAAACACTTTACAGTCAGCGGATTCCCAGCAGGCTTCCCGGTTTGTGGGTCCCAACATATTAGCTCTCCAGCCTTGCTTCCACTGACCAGATATTTACCATCAGGTGACCATGCGATACAAAGAACCCAGTTTTTGTGTCCTGAAAAAAATATCACCAGACAAACGATAAATATAAAAAATAAATGCAATGAGTGCAAAGAAGTACAAGAACATAAATTAATGTTGAATGGCATCTCCTTTTTCTAACTCCATTTTCATGTTTAAATACTTCTCTGTTGCTCAAACAGTTTTTCAGTCGAACTGACCAAGAAAAACAGAATCAAGTACAAATTTTCTAACCTGTGCATGTAAACATTGGTGTCTGAGTATTTAGGTCCCATAGTCGGACGGTGGTATCACCTGAGCCACTTGCTAACTGTCGTCCATCAGGACTAAAGGCAACAGAAAGTACTGCTTCAGTATGACCTATTGTAACAAAGCAATAATAAAGATTTAGCATATCAATCCAATTATGCTAAAAGAATGCCAACATTTTACGTCTAATTAATCAATATAAAGATAAAAATATGAATATGTTGATGAAAGTTCCTTTTGACAATAAAATTAGCTGAGCCTGCACCCGGAAAAAAATAATTCCTTTTAAAAGTTGAATGATATCATCAAATCTAGAGCCAAAGCAAACATGCAAGGGACAATTTGTTTCTCTCATGAAGAGTAGCACAAGGAGTAACGATTTCAACATTCACGCAATTAAGTTTTTTATAACAAATAAATATCAATCACATACCAGCAATTGTAGCTGAACATCGATTAATTGGACGAATCCTGAAAACTGCTTGCGGTTGATAAACTATTGATAGCGTTTTCTCCATGGAAACTGCAAATTTGTTTATTCAAGTTAACCAACCAAAAGCATACGAGAAATGTAAAAGAATCAAGTAATAGAAGCAGAACAGTCGCATAATTCACTTTCAACAGTTCCCTAACTGACCTTTATTTTTCTCCAAGTAATTTCCAAGTGGCACAAGAAGCTCTTGATTAGATATATAAAATGCATACGGTAGCTTCTCCTCCTGAAGAAACCCAAATAACAAAGTTCATTACTCGTATCAGTCTCTAGAAACATTTTATTATCTAAAAGAACAAGTTCTGAATAATTCAAATATGCAAGCAATTGCATAAAACTTCGAAAAAAAATTAACAACTAGGAACTAGTTGCAACAAAATATAATGCAATGAAGCAGAATATGAAGAAAAAGTTACATTTTTTAGAAGCGTATTGACAATCTGTTGAAGCTGAAGAGGACCAACGTTCTGAGGAAGGTACATGGTGCCTCCCAGTGTGGTCCCTTCTGGGTCTGTTAATACGCACATCACGCTTTTCCCCGAATCTGCTTGCTCTCTTTCCACCTCCATTTTCCCTTTTCCTTTTCGTTTGCTTCTGAAATAAAAATGGTGACGTCGGAAGGGGGTTGTTGGTTTTAATAGGTATAGGGTTTTTGGTTAACGCCGAATGGAAACTGGAGATTGGGAAGTTTTTAGGGTTGACGGTTTTGCTGTCGGAGGTTTAAAGGGCGGTGGTGAGATCCAAGGGAAATGGCTGCGGCTGACCTATGCGGCCGCAATATTAGCCCTCTGTTTGAGCTCCACAAAAGATGCTTTTTTCATCGTGGTTTAGTAAGGGGTAAACTATTGGAAAGCTACCAAAGCTATAAATTTTGATCATTATGGTCATCTATGGTTAAATAGTGGGTTTAATATTTAAATTAAATATTAAAATATTTAATATTGACTAATGGAGTAACTCAAATTATTCGATAATTACGGAAATGAATTTAATTATTTGTGAATCCAACTCAAATAAATTATACAAGAACAATTGTGTTATCTCAATTACTTCGTGGTTAGTTAAGTTAGTTTTAAGAGGAGTGCCATAATGAGTGTTAAACAGGCGGCACCTACGAACATTACGCTTCACTTCAACAAATTCCTGGCGGTATAAACAAGGCTGTGACGCTGAAAATGAAGCTTAAGCCTTGTCAATTTCTAAGTAATTGCATTTCGCTGTGGCAATCAGAGTCATGAAGGCTTCACCCAGAATGAAAATCATCATTGTTGATTGCCTTTTCCACGTAGTAATTGTCTTCACCTTGTGTACAACGCGATTGCCGCTATCTTTTTCAACAACAGAAGCAGTTCAGCAAATACTTATACGCTTAGATTCCAAACGCTTATCTCCGCCAGTTCAAGAATCAGCTGCTAAAGCCGTCTTGCGATGATTGCTCCCTACCCATTTTCACAGTTTTCACTTTAAAATCGTCTCCAAGGTGTTTGTATCTTTTTTTCTTCTTCTTTTAATCTAATTTGAAATGGTTTGGTTTGCTAGTTACTGTGTTTATTCGTTTTAATGAAGAAGTGGTCTATTGGCTTCTTGAAGGGAAAACTAGTATAATTTGCAACCTTATGTATTGTTGTTCATGATGTTACTATTTTTCACTGTTTGTTTTCTCTTCCATATATCAGGATGTTTGTGGCGGACAAAGCTTTTGATAGAAATTACATTGGTTCTAACCGAAATGGACCCGAGATAATGTATGTACAAATCAGTTCTTGTTTTAGTTCATAATTATTGAGTGTGGGGATGCATATATATTTTTATGCCTATTACGATAAAAACTTCTAGGATGTTAGCCAATTTAACTAATGATCATATCCTACATGCTGACAGCGTTTTACATGATTAAAAGGACAATAGTCACATCTAGTTCAACCAAGATTACGAGTTCTGTCATGCATGCCTTTGATGTTGAGAATGCTACTGTTATAGCAGATGATTTACAAAATATTCACATTGTGATTCCCGATCCTGCACATACTGTAAAATGCGTCTTCACACCACAGAGAAGTGTTGGAAACTTCATGTCAAGACAATCAACAACCCAACTAAAAGTGTAAGTGATCGTAGTCAAGCACTTCTGGTAAGCTCTCTATCGATTAGTAGAGAAAACAAGTATTCTCCTAAGTTTCATGTTGAGGAAATTGAGAAATAGAAAAACTTATTAGAATCTCTTGAAAAGTCATATTCGACGAGTACCTGTCCATTGACATTTTCAGGTATTTTCTCTTCCTCGTATCCTACTGTCTCAGAAATAACATCTCTTTTCATATGGGTAATATATTCTGGGATCACTGGCCATCTGACCTATTCCTTAAAAATATTTCCTCAACTACATCCCAAATAGTAGTCATTCCAAGATCACCATTATCCTAGTTAACCAAAAGGACGTTTATTTTAATAAAGACCTTATCCTAAATAATGTTCTCTATGTCTCAAATCTCTTTGTCAACCTTATTTCTATTCACATATTTGAATTACAATGTGATCTTCTTCCCATCACATTGTACTTTTTAGACAATAAACATAGATAAGACGATTGGACGTGCTAGTCAAAAATTGGGGGGGCAAATTGGTTAATTTTGAAATAGATAGGATCTCTAAAATTAAACAAACCATAAAAATTAAAGAAATTATGGAATAATTTCACTAATTTTAAAATTAAATGATTGTAAAGAGTAATTAAACCAAAAATTAGAAGTCAAAATTTCTAAAATGGTCCTAAAATGCAATTGAACTAGTAAATTTGGGAGGGACAATAACTAAGTTGTAATGATTTAAAAAATATTAATGACCTAAAATCAATTAAACCATTCAGATCCGTCCCTGTTTAAAAAGATGATCTCTACTTCCTGATATAGAACCACAATATAACAGGTAGTAATGTTCTCATATCTACATGATATAGAACCACAATATGATTTTCTTTTAACATGTGAGATCATTCGAAGAATTATCAATCCTTATATAAAAGAAATAGATACAAATCTTAAGCTTCATTAAATCCTTCTCCATTTCCTTATAAAAAAAAAAACTATATTATTAGATAAATTACGTAGGTAGCCATCCACGGTAGATCTAGGCAACCACGTGATTTTCCTGGTCAGTAATCATAAAATTACAAGTAAATAAGCATTGAAAAAAGAAGGGTGATTGTGTAATTATGAAAAAAGGTAAGGGGTAAAATTGGAAAAATGTATCCAATCACGCGGCGAACAACCTAAGGTGTGCACATTCAATTTCTGACCTTCTTCTCCGACGCGGTTTTGCATAATTTGACTTATTACTTTACATACGATTCTCTCTGACACTTTGTTTGGACTGGCTGACTCTGTACGCTTTAGGTGGGAAGAAAATGACAAAAGAACCTAAAGGCTAATTGCAGCGAAGCCCTTGTATTTTTCTCTAATGTCCACAACATTTTCAATCTAAAGACCCTGTACGCTTTAGGTGCAAGTTTGCAGCTCCCAAACGAGGGCATGTCATCCAGAACAACATGTTCCCTACATTCAATCCAATCGTATCATCATACAATTCTTTATTTTTATTAATAAAACAACTGAAAGGAAACAGACCCCCGCTTCCGCTTGGCTGGTGTATAAATATTAATCCTTCTACGCTTTCGGTCCCAACATCAAATTCCATTCCCAGTTACATGGGAGATTTACTCTGGGACGTTTTCTAGCACAACCTATTTCTTTCTTTCTTCCTTCCTTTTTTTTTATTTTCTTCATTTTTCAGACTTTGAAGAAAATTATAGAGATTGATTTTGGTAATAACAGGGTGGAATGGGGAAGTACACGGAGATATTGGATGCAGGGGTGAGAATAGTCGCAAGATTCCATTCTCACTAACTCCGACAAACACCGCCACCTCCAAGGTGGCGTCTCCTCCGGCGTCGGCGACATCACAAGAGAAGTCTCGGCGCATATGGGGGTTTTACGGTCCGAATGCGGCTACTGGTGCTGATGTGAAGGAGCTCATTATATTTTCCATTTCATGAGAGGTATTTACAATTTATTTGCCATATAATTTAGGAAATGAAGTTAATTATTCTCTTATTGATGATCTTTAGACATGGAAAAAAATGTCAACGGAATGAAAATAAAAGATAATTTCAAATGGTGATCGTCAAGTTTGGTGAAGATCAGTGGCCATGCAAAAAAGAAAACAAGCCCTGAACCTATTGACCTTGTCGCTGTTACTTGTTAGGTCACATCGACCAAGTGCTGTTGGCACTGCAATTTTTCGACCCTAGTGAGGAGTGAATGGCAGTCTGTCATTGAGTATTTTTTTTGCGATAAAAGCGATTTAAAACGTTTGTTTTTTTTTTCCTATTCAACTTTAATTTTTCAAAAAAAATCATCTAAAATTTATAAAATTTTAAAAAACTATTATTTTTAACTATTTGTCAATTTTCTCAAATTTGAAAAATTTTAGGTGTTTATTCGAAATACGAATAGTGAGAACCATTCTTCGAGAAGATGAACAATATATCTTAAAACTAGCTTCATTGAATGATCTTCATAGGAGATTAAAGAAGTATTAGCACATCAAAATTTTAAATAGATTTTCTTTGATTTTTTATGAGTTCTATGAAAAATCAATCAGATGAAAAGAAAAAAGAGTAAAATATAAACATTTTAATATTGTCTTGTTCCAAATGACGACATGACATGCGATAATTTAATGTCAATGGAAACCAAAAAAGTTAAGTGATAAAAATTGATACACCTCTATAGTTTATTGTCTAAAACGATGTTGTTTTAGACATCAATAGTCGTACCAAAATGACATTGGCTTGTCTATGACATTACAATGACGGAAAAATCTGTCTACATCATCGTGCCCCTAAAATTTAACAATTCAACAATTTAATTGAAGTTGAAACTAAAATCTAATACTATAATTGGAAAAAAATTGAAATTTGAATAATACAAACATATAAAGTTAAGTGATATCTTACATAGTTTATCTTTATTTGTAAACCTATCAAGTTCCGATGGATATTTAATATTGAACATTGTAGATAGTTGAAAAATAATCTTATTATACCAAAAATCCTCAAATTATTTAATAAATTCTATACTAGTCTCTAAATATAAAATTATTTCAATTTAATCCTCAAAACTCCCCCTCTGATCCATCTCTAAACTTTAGCAATACAGGTCAACATAAATTTGACATGTTTAAAATTTTTCCATTGTTTTAATCCTTAATTTTTAAAATTTGTTACTAGTTTATGTATTACGTGCAAGTTATACATTTATTTCCTGTTTTCCAATTTGATCATTTTTATCCCTTATAATTCCATCATATTATCCCTTATAATTCCATCATATTATCCATAAATTTAAAATGTAAAGAGACTAAAATTGGGGAAATTGTAATATATAGAGTAAATATGTAACTTTAACATGGTACAAGGACTAATATCAAAATTTTACCTATCTTTTAAACATAAAAGTTAAAATTTCATTCAAATTTTTGAAAGAATAAAAGGGCTAGCTTGGGCAGGACATGTATTGAAATAAAGTTATGGCCCATAACATTAAAGAACAAAAGGAAGCGAATCCAAATATGTGTGCAAAATTAGCCTAAAGGCCCACCATTTTACAAAATCACAATGAATCTGGTGCTTTACGAAACCCTTCCCCTATAAATTTCCCCATTAGGGTTTCTTCAAATTTTAAATTATACCAATAATATATAAGACAATTTTTTTTATGAAAATATACATTAG